TGAGATGATCAGGAGAAACTATTTCTGATGTATGTTTGTACACACAGAGTCCCTGGTACATCAGCCTACTTAGCGAGAGAATCCTTCCAGACTTTTTCAAGGCAGAACCAGAAACTGGGAGACTTAGAGAAAGGCTATGAATTGATGTCCAGGAAGTTGTAGTTGTGAAAGCCAGAATGGGAAAATGATCAGCTCCTTTGAAAGACTAGCAGCCTGTATACCATCTTGTGAACGAAGACTTGCTCTCCTTACAGCTACAAGGCTGCTGCTCACACAAATTTCCTCTAAGCTTGATTCCAAGTTCTTTATGTAAGCTTTGATTTTCAAACCCATGTGACCTCCTGATCTCCACACAGATGCTGTGAACAAAGCTCTTGGAATTAATTCTGCTCTGCTCTGGATTTTTCAGCTGCTAACTGCATTGAGTTGGACAACAAGAACCGCCATACCAGATGCGCAAATCAAACAACCCTTGTATTCATAACCATCAGCACCTGAAAGATGTCTTTTGGAGATGCCAATCTTCAACATTTGGCTATTAAAATTGTCATAACTTACAAAACCTTCTGGTAGAACTGGACTTTCAGGACAGGTATGAGAAAATACTTGCATTTTATAGCACAGATTACAGCTGATTTGATTTCTCTGAAGTTTTGTTCTAGTTGTTATTTGTAAACTGATCAGGACAATAAGGGGAAAAACTTAATGTTGATCTGGACTTACAATAAATGCCTTATTTTTTGAACCAGAAAGCAATTCCCTTATACAAAGATCCAAAATTAATTAGAAGCTTTCTTTAATGGCAAGCTAATTTCATTTAGTCATGAATTTTAGTCAGTCATGACTAGTAAATCTCCAAATTATATTTTAGCAGGGTGAAAATAATCTTCTTCTGCATTGATTTATGAAAGATGAGATTGCAGTAAGAAAGTAGAAATCTTTGCTTAAGAGGAAATCCATGAAATAACTTAGATCTCACAGATTTTATTGTTTGAATGATTTTTAAAACAAAAAAATTACATTGTGCTTTTTATGTTGCCATAGGGGACCATAAGTAATCATTTAAGGCAAATATGTTCATTTTTGCCTAAGGGACTAAAAACAACAGAAAAAAAAAAGCACTCTCTTGTTAAAGTAAATTAACATGTTGCTCTGGTTAGGAGGATAAAATAAAAATTTTCATCTATACTACAACCTGTCCCTCTAAAGTTCTTTGCAGAATTTATTAGGAATTTTTTAGGAACTGAGTAGGTAGTACCCTCTAAGATTCTCCTTCCCAGAGAATAGCAACTTTTTACGGATCCTTTTTCCTTTAAAATGCATACACAATATTGCAGCTCTGCTGCAAGGTGACATCAAATACGTAGGAAGAACTCTGATTAATTTCTTAAGTAAATTTACATGGTTTTACTCACCTTCTTCATTTATAATTTCTTCACAGGAATACCAAATCCCAGCATGAAACTTTCGTTCAATGAACTTGTCATCTCCTGTCTCCCAAATATACTGCACAGCATTGCTGTTGTTGGCATCAGGACTATTAAAGCGGATGCAGTGATCCCCTTTGCTCTGTCCTGTACAGAAAGGTTTGGCAACTTTTCTTGTCCCTTCACACCAGTAACTGCTACTGAATGCTGTAATAGAGAAGACTAATGACAGAAAACTGAGAGAAAATGCTGCTGAGGATCTCTGCCGTCTGTCCGCAGCTGGGACTGAATCTGGCATCCTCCAGGACTACACTATTAATTATTCCAGAAACAACCTTGTACAAAGCTTAAAATACATCTGCCTGGTGAAACAGCTGCCTGTATTTACCATCCCGTTCTTCATTCTTCTCAGAAAATTGTACCAGTTTAGTAGTTAAGATAGAAAGCAGAGATATGGGCGTGACCAGCAACCATGTGGCCAAAGAGATTAAGGACATATATAGGACAGTATTTTTTGGCAGTAATGTCTTGTGAAAGAGATACGAGATGGTGGGACAATAAATTATACACCATGAATCACAGGAATAAAGATACACAGAATGCAGAAGCATTGGAAGTACCTCAGTACATCAGTGATAAGAAAAATTTTACTTATGCAAACAAATTATGCATATTTACTTTGATCAGCAGGTGGAGTCAGGCTGATGAACTTCTCCATTTCTCAGCTAATAAATAAATAAATAAATTATTGTTGTTACAGTCTTAGTATAAAGAAATTCTTAAGGAGATAAAACTAGTTGCTAAATTAGAGCGTTCCACAGGATTACAGCACTTCCCAAGACCACTGGGAAGATGATTGCATGTGTTCAAAGTTCCACCAGTGAGAAATGAAAGTCATAAGTTACATGAGATTGCTATTGATGGTCTTCTGGGTATTGCCCGGTCCACCTCCATGAACACATAATAGAAATCTTGCCCAAGTTAGGTGAAACAGCAGAGAAAAAGATGAATTATCCTCATTTTGTCTATCCATTTGTTCTCTCTGTGAAATAGTATTCTTTTTCCTTCATCTAAGAAACATTTCCCAGGTTGACATGCTATATATGTTGCTTTTCCTACCTACAAATAAGCAAATAAGTGATACAAAGAAGAAGAAGAAGCAAGAGAGTTAGCAAATGATTGTTTCATTTTACAACTGTAAGGTCAAAACACATGCCCTAAGGGAGCGTGATACTGCAGGACAGACACTGAAGTCACATATGTATCTTTTAATGAAAATAAATCTGATTTTTAAGGCAAATCTCTACCCAGAACATGTCAGAGAAGGAGAAGTGTGGGGCTAGACAAGTCCCAGCATAAAACTCAAAGATCACAGCTTGAAAACCTGGCCAGCAGCAGAATGAAAGATGAAGCTGACATCTGCACTAAAAAGGAAGAGCAAATCTCATGATCAAAATCATCAAAAAAACAGATTGTAGATTGAGCCAGGTATTTTTGTTTTTCCTACAGCTTTGGGTTACTGTATTTTCACAAGGATGTAGCACTTGTGAACTCCACTTGAAGCCTCTGTGCACTGCTTCTGGACAGTATTATCAACTGCCACCTTTCTGCTTATGCCCTATCAATGATGCTATCACAAATTTTTAAATCAATTTGCCATGTAAGAATGCCCTATGTAACAGGAGAAATGTATTGCATGAGCATTTATTGGTTAGATCTGACATACTGTGAAAAAAGAAAATAAATAAAATGGGAGCAAATAGATTATCTTGACCTTCCTTCAAACAAAGTGTTATATTCAGTGATTTTTGCTGCAGTAAAGTTGAGAGTGAATGAGGGTAGGCAGCTGTGGCTAATGTTCAGCCAGGCTGATTTACATTGTTCTAGTAAAAACTCTGAACAATAACTCAGAAATTCAAACTTCAGCTCTGCATTCTGTCTTTACCACCTAGTGCCACAATTTATTAGTGTAATTACAATATGGGGATACTTTAATGTGGGCCTCCTGCACTGACATAGTCCTGGGTAATGCTAACTCTAGAAGGGGGCCACAGAGCTTGTTCAAGCTTAAGCTTCAGATGATTTTTTAAAGTGAGTAGGTAAAAACTAGCGACTTGTAGAGTCAAAAACTCAAACAGAGCCTCAGCTGCTGGGTGCTAGCTATCAGTGGAGAAGATGAGAAGACTTGCATGCAACTGAGTGGTAGTGAGGATGTACTGCAGGAGACCCTGTGGATGGGCTCATGTAGAGTCTAGGCAGACCTCAGGGTTTATTGAGCAATAGGACATTTCATATAGTGATCTCAAAACAGCTCTGATGCCAGAGCACTATTCAGGTCTCCTGGTTTTAACCAGCTACAGAGCCGATCTTACTCACATGATCATTAGAAAATGTACTTTTATCCTTCGTAGCAATACACAGACAAGCAATTGCTACAGAGGCTTTGAAGTGCTTCTCTATCCAGAGTTGCCCTGAGGTGTGACAAGGAGGAATCTGTATACTGACACATTCACCCAGGAGGCACAGTAGTGTCCTTACTGCCAGGCTTCTAGAGTGGGCTGGATGCATTTCCACACTGAAATACTTATCCCCAGAGCACTTCCATACACCATGTCCATATACTCTTTTTTGCCACATGCAGACTTCATGTAGAGTCATGGGTAGACATCATGCCCTTCCACCTCTTGGATTCCTTCAGAAGAAAGTTTTAGCATGTATGTATAGAGGAAGACAGGTCACACTCCAGGCCAGGTTGATGGGGTGTGCTGCAGGGTGTATCTGCCACACAGTTTGGGTTTAATCCATGTCTGGCATTGAAAACTACTACTGATGGGCTACTGATGGGTCCACAGTCCTAGTGTTGCACCTCTGGCTGTTCTCCAGCTTAGCTGCTCAAGATGCCTGTGAGTTCTGGGATGGGCACAAGTCATCCTCTGGTACAAATAGCCACAAATCTCATTTCTCTTGGAAGTGGAAGAGGCAATATCTTCTAGACTCTCCATACTGCCAACTCAAAGCATGACAATCGTAAGCTAGACCCTAAAATTATTATATTATAAATAGTTTTATTCCATAAGTCTGTATAACACATGGATTTATTAAAGTTTTCAGGTTTTTATCTGCAACTAGAAAAGTTACAAACCATTTTTTGAAAATTAAAGCTGAAATTAATTGGCGGTCTCTTCAGCCTCACAGCAGAAGCTGTGAAAAAACATTGAATGTCACAGGAATTGTAATAAAAATTTATCTGCTGGTAACATCATTTTTTGTACATTTAGATTCTCCACAATCCTGCACTGTCTGTGCATATTTAACAAACATGATCAGAAAGAATAAAATCAGCTGAACTGCTTCCTAACAGCCAGCTAGATTCAGCTAGCTTCCTACATAAAGTTTTTCTGTCTTCTAAGGCATTTTTTTAATGATTTCATGAGGTGTGTATAAATATACACATTTATTTATGGAGCTGGACTGCATTCTTGCAAAATCATGGGCAAAAGTCCCATGGAGTTTCAAGGGAATGGGATCGGCCTCTTAATGTTTTAATAGTTTTCTGACTTCTTATTGGCTAAAGGACAAGCTACAGTAAGCAGACTTTCTGTGAAGTTTAGAGTAAATTCTCTCTGCCTTTAATCAAAAAAACCTAAAATGTAGCTGGAGTCTAGCAAGCCTGGACACTTTAGTAGACTTTCCACTTATTTGTAAGAAGATTCATGAAACAGTTGCATTCATAAAAGAAGATATTTTTACTTTTTTTTTTTTTTTTTCACAGGAGTGTGAAGTTTAGAGTAAATTCTCTCTGCCTTTAATCAAAAAAACCTAAAATGTAGCTGGAGTCTAGCAAGCCTGGACACTTTAGTAGACTTTCCACTTATTTGTAAGAAGATTCATGAAACAGTTGCACTCATAAAAGAAGATATTTTTATTTTTTTTTTTTTTTTTCACAGGAGAGGGTGATATAATTGATCTATAGTAGAGTGAAATCGCAGCATACTGGGGACAAGTTTATTAGAATGAGCACAGTGACGCTTTTTGGTCTCTGTTCCAGCATGGGACTCTGGTCCAGAATATCTCCTGCACCTGCCAGCTCTGTCATGATACTGTTTCTAGTGAAACAGGTAAGCTAATTCAATAATTAATAATGGACAGTATAAAAGTGGATTCCTATCAAATAATATTTTAGTGTTCACAAACAACATGTTTGTTTCAAAAATAGTTGATATAATAATTTATGTTTATTAAAAACTAATAATGGAAAATGTTCACTAAGAAGCTGCAGAGTTTTGTATTAGAACTCACTCTGGCTATGTCACTTAATGTGAATAAATTGTCAGTGAATAAATTGTGCATACATCCATTTATACAGTGTCTTTTCATATCAATATTTTTCAGTATTGAATTATATTTATTTTTCAATTTTCCTACCAGATATCAATACCATTGTGAATCATGTTTATTTTCTACTGGTTTTCCCCTGTTATAAAATCAGCTTTGCTTTGTTTCCAGCACTCTTTTAGCCTTTGACTTGCATGAGGGGTGAGCATTGAATCTGATATTTGTGAAATCTGGTGTTTCATTATGCACCTCAGATTATTATCGAAGCCTAGTAAATCTGTATGTGATTTCTACTTTTATTTCTTGTGGAGATTTACAAAACTATTCACTTTGATTTTTCTAAATCTAGAAAGAAATCTGAAATCTTGCTTCTTAGTCTATATTTTTGTCTATCTTTGTCTATATTGTCTTATAATTTGGAAGAGGTTTAGGTATTCAATATCTAAATATCTTAGTATAATTCACTTCAAGGAAATTTTCACTTATGTTTCTATATCATCATTATTGTTTATTAATAACAAACTTGATTTTGATAAATTTAAAAAAATACTAAGATGTAGTAAAGCACTTAACCAAAGCACTGGTTCCATCAATGCTAACAGAAAATCTCCCATGAGATCAAAACTTTAGAAGACTAAATCACAGTGAATTACTTTGCCATAGTGATTACTCTAACTTGTTTAAAGAAATATGTGTTATATTTATTTAAGTTGTATTTAATGAGAAAAATATAAAGAGAAAACAATCATAAATCACTATATCCATGTATTATAGCAAACACCTATGCAAAAAATATCAATCAGAATAAACCAGGATTGTGACTGAAAGAATAAGCAAGTATTTAAGTTCCTATTTCTTGTTTATACCTAAATTGAATTTTTCTCCTGTCTGCAATAGCATAGTCTGAATAAAGAAAAAAAATTAATTTCACGATTAGCTTAGAATAAGAAATAAAAAGGGTGAAATCCTGATTATACTGTGGTCAGTTATGAAAAAAAAAATTTAAACCAGTCTGTTTGCAACCTTGGAGGTTTATTATTATTACAATCCACTTCCTAAGCAAGAGCCTCAGGCCATGTTTTCTGCTGCATCCAACATATTTTTAAACAGCGGTGTCATCCTGGTGCACTTTGGGGGGCTCTGAGCAAACAAAATGAATTGAGAAATCCTTCCAGGGAAGTTTAATTATGTTTCAGTATGGGTGAACTTTGGTGCAAATGGGGTGCCAGGCTTGCAGACTGAGGTCGTTCATTTGGTACCACTGAAACCTCATGTAGCCTGAAATGAAGAAATGTCCAGTGTAGGGCAAAAGGTGGTGGACTTTCTGAGCTTCTGTCTTGCACATTGGGGTTTAATTTCTTATGAGTCAGAAGTCTTGTTTAAATGCTACTGGCTGAATGTCAACTGGAACATGAAACTGAGATCAAATGCAATGCTGAGCTGCATGTTGCCACTGTTTGAAATCACTGTAAATTTACTTGCAAACTTGTACTTCCACTAGTAAGCATGCATTGTATCCAAATTTTGATAGCACTGAGTAGCTCAAAACTTAGATCATACTAAAACCTCACTGCAATTTGTAATCACAGACCCACAGATGCAAACAGCAAGTTGAAGGTCCTTTTCTGAACACACCCACAGGAGTGGGCCTTCTCCCACATGTGGCAAAAGGAGGAAAAGCCCCCGTGATCTCAGCAGTGACTGCTGTGTTCTTTACATTGATCCAGACTGCAGACCCTCCTCTTTCTGAGAGAACCTGCACCCCTCTCTGAAAAATAATAAGCGATATTGGTGTATGATACAGAGGAAACCTGTCTCAATGATTTTTTCCTCTAGTACTTTTCACTTAGTTAAACAGACATACAACATCAAGGTGTCCCACTTCCTTAATTTCCCCTTCCATCTTAAGGCTAGTGCCATACTCCCAGCCCACACAGTTTGCTTTCTTACTGGACAGTGAAAAGCTCTCTAGTGCACTTAATGCAGAAGAGCTGTAATAGGATGCCCACTGCAGAAAACACTGAAGTCCTTTGTGTGGGGCACCTGCATCAGTCCCTTTCAAGCCAAGAAGTGAAAGAAAGTTTATTTTCCTCATTGCAAGGCACTGCAAGCATTCTTCAGCCTTTTTCTACCCATATGTCCTTATAGATTTTCCCCAGAGAGAGTAGAGACCACTGCAGATGGAACAGTCATATGCGAACAGCAAGCTTGCTTTTTTAGCTTCTTTTCGTAGTCCCTGTGTAAATAGGCAATGATCAATTCACAAGTTGCTGCCATTCGAGTCATCATGGTTTGCTGTTGAAGATATATTTATCATTATTCAGTATTTATCATTATTTATCATTATTCAGTAAGTTCGCAGAGGACACCAAGCTGGGTGGCAGTGTCGACCTGCTGGAGGGTAGAGAGGCTTTGCAGAGGGATCTGGACAGGCTGGATCAATGGGCTGAGACCAACAGGATGAGGTTCAACAAGGCCAAGTGCCGGGTCATCCACTTGGGTCACAACAACCCCATGCAGCACTACAGGCTTGGGGAAGAATGGCTGGAGAGCTGCCTGGCAGAAAAGGACCTGGGGGTGTTGGTCGACTGTTGGCTGAACAGGAGCCAGCAGTGTGCCCAGGTGGCCAAGAAGGCCAATAGTATCCTGGCCTGTATTAGGAACAGTGTGGTGAGTAGGGCCCGAGAGGTGATTGTCCCCCTGTACTCGGCACTGGTGAGGCCCCACCTCGAGGGCTGTGTCCAGTTTTGGGCCCCCTACCATAAAAAAGATATAGAGGTGCTTAAGTGGGTCCAGAGAAGGGCAACAAAGATGGTGAGGGGTCTGGAGCACAAGTCTTATGAGAAGAGGCTGAGGGAGCTGGGGTTATTCAGCCTGGAGAAGAGGAGGTTGAGGGGAGACCTTATTGCTCTCTACAACTACCTGAAAGGAGGGTGTAGAGAGGTGGGGGTCGGTCTCTTCTCTCAAGTCACAGGTGACAGGAGGAGAGGAAATGGCCTCAAGTTACGCCAGGGGAGGTTCAGGCTGGATATTAGGAAAAATTTTTTCACTGAAAGGGTTATCAGACATTGGAATGGGCTGCCCAGGGAGGTGGTTGAGGCACCATCCCTGGAGGTGTTCAAAAGACAGGTTGATGTAGTGCTGGGAGGTATGGTTTAGTGATGGTGATGCTTCTTGTTTGTTGTGCGGGTGTCTGTTTTTGTCAGTCAGGTTGACGGTTGGACAAGATGATCTTTAAGGTCCCTTCCAACCTAGAAGATTCTGTGATTTCATTGATAAGACAAATCTATGGGGATTTCTTAGTCTTTTAGTTTAATGATTAAGGCCACTCCAACACTTTTCTTAAAGCTTGCAAATTAATCACTCTCTATCTTGAGGCATGACCGTCATAGTCAGTCATACTATAAAGGCAGAGTTGCACCAGGGACAAACACTACACATTAATATTACCTTTTACCCCTTTTCAACATGTACCCTTGTATGTACAACTCCAGAAATGCCAATAATCTCCTGTACTGCAACATTGTCTAGAGGTGGCTCACATCACTATATTTCTACAACTAAATATCGGTTCTCAGAAGGTCCTGACATAAAATGTTGCATTAGGTCTGTAATGGAGGGCAAGAGACCGGCATGGCTGAGTCAAGACCTGCTGGTTAAACAGAAATGTACAGGCAGTGGAAGCAGGGACAGGAATCCTGGGAAGAGTATAGTGACGCTGCCCAGTTGGGTGGGGATGGAGTCAGGAAAGCCAAGGTACAGCTGGAGCTGTACATGGCAAAGGATGCAAAGAGTAATAAGGACTTCTACAGGCATGTCAACCAGAAAAGGAAGGTCAAAGAAAGCGTACCTCCCAAAATTAACAAGACTGGTAAACTGTGGACAATGAAAATACTGAAGCACATAGTCTCCACTGGCAGCCTCTCTTCCCACGCCTCTCAAGTGGATGGACCACAGGGCAGAGACTCAGGGAGAAAAGTCCCTTCCACTGTAAGAGAAGATCAAGTTCGTGACCACCAGAGGAATTTGAATATATGGAAGCCTATGGGACCTGACAAGATGCATCCCAAACTCCTGAGGGAATTGGCTGCTGCAGTTCCCAAGACTTTCTCCATGATATTTGAAAGGTCATGGCAGCCAGGTGAAGTTCCTCATGACTGGAAAAGGGGAAACATTGCACCCATTTTTAAAAATGTAGAAAGGAGGACCCTGGGGACTACTGACCTGTCAGCATCACCTCATTGCCTGGGAATATCATGGAACAGATCCTACTAGGAGCTATGCTAAGGCACGTGATTCAAGACAGCCAGCATGGCTTCACCAAGGGCAAGTTCATCTGACTAACCTATTGCCCTTCTGTAATGGAGTGACTACATCAGTGGACAAGGGAAGAGCTACAGATGTCATCTGTCTAGAATTATGCAAGGCCTTTGACATGGTCCCTCACAACATGTTTCTCTCTGAATAGGAGAGACACGAATTTGAGTGGACTGTTTGGTGGATGAGGAATTGGTTGGATGGCCGCATCCAGAGGGTCAATGGCTCAATGTGCAGGTAGAGATTAATGACTAGTATTGTACCTCAGGGGTCTGTATTGGGACCAGTATTACTTAACATAGAATCATAGAATAGTTAGAGTTGGAAGGGACCTTAAAGATCACCTAGTTCCAGCACCCCTGTCGTGGGGATGGACGCCTCCCACTAGACCATGTCTCTCAAAGCCCTATCCAGCCTGGCCTTGAACACTTCCAGGAATGGGGCATCCACAACTTCTCTGGGCAGCCTGTTCCAGTGTCTCAGCACCCTACGACATCTACATGAATGACATAGACAGCAGGATCAAGGGTACCCTCAGCAAGTTTGCAGACAACACCAAGCTGAGTGGTGTGGTTGACATGCCTGAGGGACAGGATGCCATCCAGAGAGACCTGGACAAGCTTGAGAAGTGAGCCCATGTGAATCTCATGAGGTTCAACAAAGCCAGGTGCAGAGTCCTGTGCCTGGGTTGGGGAAGGCCTCCATACCAATACAGGCTGGGGGATGAAAGGATGGAGAGCAGCCCTGAGAAGAAGGACTTGGGTGTACTGGTGGATGAAAAGCTGGACATGAACAGGCAATGCTGTCGCAGCCAACCTGTAAGCTGCAACAAAAGAATCCTTGTCTGCATCAAAAGAAGCATGGCCCTCAGGTCAGGGGAGGTCATTCTCTCCCTCTACTCTCATGAGACGTCTCATGAAACATCCCTCTGCAGTGCTGCATCCAGCTCTGGGGTCCCCAACATCAGAAGAACATGGGCCTGTTGGAGTGGGACCAGAGGAGGCCACAGAAATGATGCAAGGGCTGGAGCCCCTCTGCTGCGAGGACAGGCTGAGAGAATTGGGGGTGTTCAGCCCAGAGAAGAGAAGGCTCCAGGAAGAGCTTAGAGCCCCTTCCAGTCCCTAAAGGGGCTCCAGGAAAGCTGGGACAGGGCTCTTTATGAGCGATTGTAGTGATAGGACAAGGGGTAACAGTTTAAAACTGAAAGAGGGGTGATTTAGATTAGATATTAGGGAAAAAATCTTTACTGTGGTGGTGGTGAGACACTCGGACAGGTTGCCCAAGGAGATTTTACATGCCTCATCCCGGGCTCTGAGCAATGTAATCCAGTTGAAGATGTCTCTGCTCATTGGAGGGAGGTTAAGCTAGATGAGCTTTACAGGTCTTTTCCAACCCAAACTGTTCTATGATTCTGTCTAAATGGCCCCTATTCACTGGGCGTTTTCTGCTTCCCTGTTAATTTCCAATCATTTCCATATTTTTTTGATTAATAATTTATTTTGTATGTTCTTTTAACTACAATTCAAGTTAATTTTTGAGGTCAGCTGACAGCTCAACTTCTTTTTCTGTCAGGTGTAGCTCTGGTTATATAAAGACTTGATTTGTTTTTTTTTTCATCAGAAAGTCTTATGACAGAAAATCAAGCATCACACAGATATTTACACCAACAGTGACCCAGTATTGGCTATCTGACTTTGCCTGCAACTTTGCAGAAACAGGCAATTACATAAGGAAATGATGTGAAACTGTCATTAATTTCTTAACTGCTCATCGCTCTTGTTGAGTGAGCTTCTTCATGACTGTGTATCAGCCTAGTCTCCAGGCATGGAACCAAACAAGCAGCCAGGTAGCCACTGTGAGGCATTACTTGTATTTCCTTGGATGTTTAATGCATTTGTTTATTAGAAACTGAAGTGTTATCATTTAAATTAAGCATTCTTTTCTACAAATGCGTCATCTCCATCTCTTTGCCTCTTCAAATGAGGTTCACTGACCCAGGAGTGTCTGAAGAATCTCCCCTGGCTCCCAGAATTTTGAGGCCTACATGAGGGAAATGTCAAGATGCTTTTTATTTTGGAAACATGCATTCCTTTCTCATGGCTGCTGTAAATATTCTCTCCTTATCTTCCAAGCCCATCAAAGGAAGAATAATTATAGTCTTTCTGTTCCCTGGAATTTAAAGTAGGGTGTTTGGAAATTAGCGGAGAGACTAAAAGCAGAGTGTTGGGCAGGCAACATTTTACACATCAAAAACATGCATGAAAGAATGGTCTCATGTAACAGTAGTCTTTACTGTTCTTGTTTTTAAAGTAAATAAATTTGATTTTCTATATTTTTCCAATAATGAGAAAGATACAGGTGAAGTTCACAGCCATACAATGTCCTGGTTATTTCTCTCTTGACACAACAAGCCCAGACAAGCTCAGGGCAACCACATATGTGTGAAAGGTGGTTTCCAAAAGGGTGTTGTCCAGACAAAAGGAACTTTATTTTCCCTGGAGATCTGAAAACCATTCTTTGACATAAGGATTGTTACGTCTTAGAAAATTTATATTTAGTCTGCTCTCCAAAATTTGGTCATTACAATTCATAATGTTTTCAACCAGTAGTGAATTTTTCATTTTTGGTGACTTAATAGTGACAATGTTTTTTGACTACTTGTCCATCTCTCAAAGCCCTGGTTTCAGGACACCAGCTGGCATATTACACAGAGACTGCTTAGGCTGATGTTGTTTTCCCTGGATAAATAATGATCAAGTCACCACACTGGTACTTAACTGCTTTGCTCCTGATTGGGCATTTCTTCAACAGCCCAAATCTAACATGTCACCAAGTAATTTTGCATTTAATTCTCTTATTTTTAGCCATTCCTTTCCTAAACAGTAATTATCAACTATGGCCATCTTAAAGGTCTCAGCAGTCAGAGTGTTGTGTGATAAAGATGTGTCAGAAAGATGGATATTTACAGAAAGCAAGTTAAAATATGAGAGTCCCCTCAGGACAATTGCAATCTTTACATGGATAAGGTGTAAGATTAGGGGATGAGGTATTAGAAAGCAGCCCTGACGAAAGGGACTTAAGGGTGCTGATGGTTGAGAAGCTGGACATGAGCAGGCAGTGTGCACTTGCAACCCAGAAGGCCAATTAAATCCTGGGATGCATCAAAAGAAGTGTTGCTAGCAGATCCAGAGAGGTGATTCTGCCACTTCGCTCTGGTGAGACCTCACCTGGAGTTCTGTGTGCAGGTCTGAAGCCCTCAATACAGAAAGGACATGGACTTGTTGGAACAGGTCCAGAAGAGGGCCACGAGGATGATCAGGGGGCTGGAGCACCTCTGCTATGAGGACAGGCTGAGGGAGTGGGGGTTGTTCAGCCTGGAGAAGAGGAGGCTCCTGGAAGACCTAATAGCAGCCTTTCAGAACCTGAGGGGGTCCTACAGGAAGGCTGGGGAGATTCTGTTTACAAAGGCCTGCAGTGACCGGACGAGGGGCAATGGCTTTAAGTTGGAGAAGAGCAGATTTAGATTGGATATTAGGAAAAAGTTCTTTACTATGAGGGTGGTGGAAAACTATAACAGGTTGCCCAGGGAGGTAGTTAAGGCCCCTTCCCTGGAGATATTCAAGGTGAGGCTCAACAAAGCCCTGGGCAATCTGGTCTAGAGGGGGGTATCCCTGCTGACTCTGGGGAGGTTGGACTAGATGACCTTTGGACGTCCCTTCTGGCCTGGACCATTCTATGATTCTATTATTCTAAAAATATCAATCAGTCATCAAAATTATCAATCAGATTCCTAAATCAATCTAGCAGAAACTTAAATACATGAGAGATATTAGCTAACCTTAGCAAAAATTGACTGTAAAGAGCCTGGAATGACTGTAAAATTTGTGAAGATAAGCATCCATTTTCTACAGAGGAGGAATGAAATGACAATGGTTTTGGTGCACCTTCACAGGTCCTAGCAATTAAATTTCTGTGTGGAATTTTTAAAAGGGACTTTACACAACTTGAATAGATTTCCGTGGTACTATAGCACCATGGCAATACGTTTCTTGCTCAGGCAAAGACAGCAACTGAAGAAATTTCACTAATAGTTTCCTGGAGAAGGAAGGGTTCTGTCTTTAATCTCCCTGCTTACCTACTATTCCTCCATTCTTTCCTCTCTTCTCCTATTAAATTTCTTATAATAGAAAGAAACCTGCCGCTAAAAGACCATGAAGTTCTAACTGATTTTCCTCGTGATCAGTATTTTCACTCACAGGCCAAAGGATCTCTGCTGAAAAAAACCACTACTGGATGGAACAAATATAAACAAGAATGCTTGAAAATGCTTCAGGAATCAACTGTTGATACCGGTAAGGAAACAAACAGTGCAATAAGTCAATGTGTTAAGTAACATTGATGAATATACAAATATTCTTTTACCTGCTTTGCAAAAGTGTTTGCCTGTTGATAAGTTCTAAATGTAGAACAATCATTTGTAACAAGATATGCAAACATGTAATCATGAAGTTAATGGCTCTTTTTGTCCTGAAACATGTTAGGTTCCTATATCTAAAACTAGATCATATACAGAAGAGAACCATTGAACAGCTGGTACTGAGCTATCACTATGGTGTGGCACTGAGTGCCTGGTCAAGAGGTAGCTGCTACCCATTATTGGTAAGAATCCCATCCTTTGTATGAAGGATACCAGATTTCACTTCCCTTTTCAGCCTGAACAAAGTCAAACACAAATTCCTAGAAATTATGCTAATCTCAGGAGAACGGACCATCCAGGGAAACGATGTTTCACATTTCTGTACTTTAGAAAATGAGCCATGGCAGAAAAGAACTCAAAACACGAGACAGGACAGAGTCTGGTTTCTGCTTAGTCAGGGCAGCTGGGGAGCTGCTCGCTTCCCACAGGACTGCTTATGCATTTTGTGATACAGTCATTAGGTTAATAAACTAAGACACAGGGACCAGTCGTTGTGTTCATCTGGCAATTATAACCATTAGCTTTAAGTACCTGATTTATTCTCCACAGCTGTTGGATTCTTTGCTGAAGAAAGCATAGCTTCAGAGGACACTGTCTTCTCCTGCTAAGTGGCAGAAGGAGGAACACCTCTTATCTCTCATTGAGTGCTCTAAATTTTATGCTGTTTGGCAAAAGGGGAGCTTATAATCTGTGATGATTGTTTCACTCTTAAAAGTATAATCTCTGCTCAGCTAGAGGTCTGTCTTCAGGAAAGGATGACACGGGCTTGGTTTGAGTAGCTGGGAAAGTTCAAGTAGCTAGGAGAGAGGTGACTGCGTCACCAAGGAAAGATTAAGATTTAAACTATGTTCTATATTTTGTACTCACTGGCTATGGATAGGTCTCTGCTCATACGTGCAAGTGACACACTCATGGGGAGAGCAGTGGATGCTGTTTTGCTGGACTTCAGCAAAGCATTTGACACTGCTTCCCATAGCTGCCCTTCTGGACAAGCTGGCAAGGTACAGACTGGATGGAGAGTTGCAACATGGGTAGCAAACTAACAGACAAGACTCAAACAGTGATGAAAAATGGTTTTTTCATCCTGTGGTTTTTTCAGCCTGTTTTTTTCAGCCTGTCACAAGTGGAGTCCCCCAGGGATCAGTACTGGGCCCCACGCTGTTCGACATCTTCATAAATGATCTGAGCACAATGGCATTGAAAGCACCCTCACAAAGTTTGCTGATGAGGCCGAACTGGGTGGTGAGGTGGACACATCAGAAGGCAGAACCATCTTACACAGACATCTGGACAGGCTAGAAGAGTGGGCTTAGTAAGAATTGTATGAAGTTTAACAAAGACATAAACGAAGAGCTCAGTACAGGCTGGAGTCTGTGTGGCTGGTGAGCAGCCTTGCTGAAAGTACCCGGGGGCCCTGGTGGACAACAATCTGAGTGTACATCATCATTGCATTGCAGCAAGAGTCAGTCAGATCCTGGGCTACATCCAGGGTATAGCTGAAGCATTCATTTTTCTAGTTTTTCATTCTCTGCTTCCCCTTCCCTCCCCTCCCCTCCCCTTCTCTCCCCTCCCCTTCTCTCCCTCTCCCCCTTTTGGATGAGCAAAAGCATTCAAGTTAAAAGAGAAGAACTCCAGCTTGTCCTAGAAGACACACAGAAACTAAACAAGAGACTAGTACAGCCATCAATGCATTTTATTTTATCCTACTTAACCTGATTGCACCATTTCAATTCTGCATTATCAAATATTAACCTTAAGTCCTGTGAGTGATGTGATACCTGTGAAACTTAGAACTGAATTAGTCTGAGATATTACCATGTCCCTAATCTCTATTGCCCAAAGACTAAGAGGAGTTATTCTCCCAGAAGCTGGCAGTGATCTGAGCTGAGAACCAGTGTCACAGGGGTCATGAAAGGTGGAACATCTTCCCTTTACCAGCAAAAAATCTGTGGCATGTACCAAAACCGGTGAGTGAGAGCACAGGTACAATCTGTCTGTTGTATTTGGACAACAGAGGCCTCAGGACAATTTTGAGTAATACGCTTATCGTAATAACGCATGTAAAACCTACTGCTATTGTATAGATCTAAGGAAGAAGGTTATCAGCCACAGTGAATGCACAAAGTTTATCTGCTATATCTTGTAAATATGCTGGAGTATCTTGCATGTTACCTGAACAGTATACAGTGACTTTCATGATTGTCCATTGTCTGAACAACTTTTGGTAAAACTTCTATTTGCTTCTCTCCCCAGGAATACATTGTAATGGGACATTTGATCAATTTGTTTGCTGGCCTCACTCACCCCCAGGAAATGTCTCTGTTCCTTGTCCTTCATATTTGCCATGGTTGGAAAATGGTAATGTGGAAGTGGTAACTTCTCTTCGAGTTTATGCTGCAAATCCAGCTAAAGGACAGATGGTGCTGGTCTCTCTTGTCCCAGTGTTCTTTGGAGTGTCTGAGGGCTCTCTTGTCTCACCTCTTTTCAGCTCTTTTCTGAATTGAGGAACAAAATTGTTGGTGTTTAATTATTTACTCTTTTACTCCATCTGTGCTTGTTACAGCTCCATATTATCTGCTATAAAGGAACATTTCCAAGATCACGTAACTGTACTGCCAGGCCTTTATTGGCAGTAACAGATTTGCTTTTCAGCTTCTGAAGTTCAACTTCTAGGTCCCCACTGACCCCAGATATGAAGCTCTGTCCTAGAAAACTGGAATAGCCAATCAAAACAGCAGCCCAAGCAGTCAGCCCTCCAGTAGGACATACTGCACCATGAGCAAAGTGGTGTGGTGAAAAAACAAGCTTTCCAAGAAGCCTTTTCCTGGAGGGATTAGAGCAGGAAGGCTCTCAGGAAGGAAAAAAGAATGATATCTGAAGGAGCAAAACTGTCTGAAAGCAAAAAACATTCCCTTTCTCCTAAAGAAATGAAAAGACTTTCTATCACTGCAGTCTGACATTTCTGAATCCTGCTACGCAACCTTTCTTAGCTACATGTGGCATTCTTAGCTGCATTTCTAATAGCACTTGGAAGGACCAATTGTGTACAAGTTCTTTAGTTTATGGGAGAATGCTATAGGTGGTTTATCCTAGCTTTCTCTAGGCCAGCTTACACATGGTTTGTTCTGTAGCATCATCATTTGTCCTTTTTTGTGCTGTTAAACATAAAGAGACCCAGCTGCTATCTAGTCTCACAAATAACTGCTTCTGCCAACCATCTAGAACAAATTGGGCTCTTTATCATAAACATAAAAGCATCTTCTTTCCCTCGGTTTAATGGAAACTACTTTTTCCTCTTTTTCTGTCTATCTTTCTACAGAAGCAAGATGTAAGACATTGCACCAGGTTATGAAACTTCAAATTAACAGTAGGGAACACAGTGGGGCTACTGTGTTTCAGCATTATCTGGCATTCTCATCCATGTCACATCACCTTAAGAGACGAGGCAGTAGAGACAGCACAGCCGTCTGTTTCTTCTAGACATTTTGTGGAATTGGGGTTAGGGTTCCTTGTGGTCCCCATTACCATGGCTGATCCCATTTCCAAGACATAACTGTCTCTGTTCTGGGACACTGATGGACTTGGACCAGAAAGTCTTGGAAGCTTGGATGAAATTTATTGTGGTTTGTCATCATTGACAAGCCTGAGCACTGAAAAGTTAGGGTAGTCTGTAAATTAGGTATCTGATCACATTTAACAGCGCTTTCAGATTTTTTCGGTGTCCAGTCTCCACACAGAGTTCTTGCTCTATCACAGCAAACTGTTCTCCCAAAGCAGTTGTTTCAGTTCCAGTTATCCTGAGCAAAATGAGATAACTCTGTTGCTGCAACCCTTAAACACTTTCTAATTCACATATGAATGAAAAAGCTCAGATCTGATTAGAAATAAATGAAAGGCAGCTGCTGAGGACAACATAAAACAAACATCAACCAGGGTCCCCATATCATTCTTCTGATGTTGTAAGCAAATTCTAGGACAATGCAGTAAAAGCCAAGAAAGTTTCACTGGTTCTCAGCACCTGCTGATCAGACCCCAAAGTGCATAAATAAAACACCAGAGTTTCAGAGAAAGATCATTCCCTAATCAAAATATAATCTTCCTCCTACAATCTACAATCCTCCTACAAGACCACACAGCCTGGGCAATGAGCTACCCATACGTGATGGAACTTAGGAGCTTAATGAGGAAAAAGCAATAAAGTGAGAGGTGGCTTTTCTTTTGAACGTAGTAACAATGTATTTTTTGTAAATAGCAGGTATATTCTGGAATTTTATTTCTGCTAGGTTGCATTCCTACTTTGTCCTATGTAAATATAAAAAATACATTGTCGAAAACAAAAGTGGGTTTTATTCCTTTTTTTGAGTCGGGGTGAGGTAGTGTCTATTGCTGTGGTATAAGAGGGAAATCTTTAAAACATGTATGAAACCCAAAAATCTTTATTTTGACCTTTCAAACTAAACCTGTTTACTTTCAGGAAGTGAAGGATATGTATACAGAGTCTGCTTGGATGAAGGGATTTGGCAAACAAAGGAAAACTCCACAGACATTTGGAGAGATAGTTCAGAATGTTCTGAGAAAAATCATTTCAAAAAAAATGTAAGCATGCTTTATATTGTGGTTTAATACTTTAATCTTCTTGATCCCTTCTTGAGTAACCGATAAAACATTTCCACTGAATACCTGCAAAAGATGTTCAGATTTCATTTAGATTACCAAATGGAAACAGAGGAAAGATTAAGGAGGGAGATTCCTGCTTTAGATGCCACAAATTATTTTCTGTTCAGAATACAGTGTTCATGAGTTGAATTTCTCCTAATAAAATTGAAAAAGACTGCAACTTGACAAGCAAATAACTTAAATTCAAAGCATTCTTGAGTACCGTGTTCAGTTTTGGGCCCCTCACTACAGGAAAGACATTGAGGTGCTGGAGCATGTCCAGGAAAGGGCAAAGAAGCTGGTGAGGAGCTTGTGGTGGAGCACAAGTCTTGTGAGGAGTGGCTGAGGGGAGTGTTCAGCCTGGAAAAGAGGCGGCTGAGGGGGAACAAAACCTTGGAACAGCTGCCCAGGTAAGGGGTTGAGTCACCATCACTGGCAGTATTTAAAAAACAGGTAGACATAGACCTTGGAGATACAGTTTAGTGATGGTCTTTGTCAGTGTTAGGTTGATGGTTGGACTAGATGATCTGAAAGGTCCCTCCCAGCCAAGACAATCCTATGATTCTATTAGTCTATGATCCCATCATCTGCCCCAAATTGCTGTAGTCTGCCAAGGCCAGATAATTTCATTCCCTGCTTCCAGAGTCTTTTACCTTTTAATGAACCATTAACTGGTGCTTTCAAATTTAGCTAGTTACAGGCTGAGGAAATCATCACAATGCAAATGTCATCCTTCCCAGTCTGATACAGCAGCCTGAGCACTGGACTTTGTCAGCAGGGGCAAATGGCTTCCCTGAGCTGAGCGAAGAGTAAACCAGATGCTCTCACCTCGACAGCACTCAGCTCTTCCTACTGAGGGTAAAATGAAAACAATTGCTGATCAACTCCGGTTTGTGAAGCTGGGAATCGCACTCTTGCTCTGCAGCTGCAGAGAAGCCTGGCTCCTGTTCTCTGCCCAATGGCCACCCACTCCCACCCTGGGCATGGTGAAGGGCAGGGAAAGAATGGTCTAAGCAGTAACAGGGACCTGATCCTTCCGCACCACTGAGCAAGGACTTGCAACAAATGCAGCAGAGTTTCAGATAATAGTAAAGTATGCAGCTAACTTGGTTTCAGCTAAGAAGTAACTTGCCATAGAGTTCAATTTATCTGATATCAAAATTAAGTCTCTTAGGTAAGCACTACTTACTCTTGATTATTTTTTCCTTTTTATTACTTTACTGGGTGAGCACAGTTACTGTTTATTACTTTCTTGAGTAACATTACTTTATTGATTACTTTATTCAACACTATTAATTCAGGATCCCCATGTACTACTAAGTTTTTACAGAACTCTTTATATAGTAAGTGCATGAACTTCCAAACTTACAGTTTATTTATACAAGTGTGATAAATATTCGTAAGTACTGAGAGTTTTCCATGGTTTGTAGACCATTCTGGATTGCAAAGTGGTGGGTGGGAGACACATAAATTCATCTTGTGCAGTAGCAGAAAATTTCTCTGAAAGCTTTAGCAACTTTCTTATCACCACTAAATGTGATTTTGTACCTGTTTGTTGTATTTAGTGAAAACCCCAAGATGCTAGAAATAACCCAGAGCTAGTATCTCCACAGACCGGATAAATCAGCTTGATTTCATTTGCTTTGGGGTTGCAAAATTGTCACAGCTGGGGTGATAACTCATGCATTTTATTAGGTTCATGCCTGTTTGAAAGTTTTCATGGAGCAGAGTGACTAATGGCTGTGCTATGGGAATCTCCTGCACACACACTGTTCTCCCTAGGCAGTTTCACCCTCTCCAAGAGAGCTTCTACCAGCAGGCACAAGCTCATCTGTGCTATCCAGATAGTACTGATTAGTATTAATTGATTAGGGACAACTACTGTCACTGAGTAGTTAGAATTCACACAGAAAACAGTAAAATCACTGAGGAGAAGACACAGGTTCCAAGAAAATCTTTGCAGGCCAAATATAGATTATAAAAGTCAAATGTCCTGTGTCTCTATGTCCCCTCTGCAGAGAAGCTTTTCTTGAGCTAGAAAAGCATTATGAAGATATGAGAGGTATACATAAGCAGATAAATGGAACAACTTATCAAGAAGAAATGTTAAATGAAGCAAAGTGAAAAGAAAGTGTCTTTCTTCCTCCTCTGAGTTCTTAGTCATCAGTCAAGACATTCTAAGATAGCTCTAAAAATTTTTTTTTTTTTCCTTTGAACTCATGGCAGAAGTCAGTTGATTTCAATGACTAGACAAAGCTGACTCTCAAAATTGTACAGACACAACTGGTCTGTAACTGTGTCCCCAAGCCACACACAGAGTAATTACATTTGTGTTTACAGGTTGAGTGAGTTGATCTCTTCAGTTGTTAAACAACCAGGATCCATTTGATGCATGTAATCATGACAATTATTAGCTGTAAATGAGGCTATGAATGGTGTTTGTGTAGAAGCAATCTGGGATGAGACTGGGAGTGCCTTCAAATCTAAAAAGAAACTAAGGCTGTCTGCAAGTGTCTCTGTCATGCAGTGATTTAATGAGGCAGTATAGGGACCAGGCATCAGAAACCACTATTGGCTATCTTGGAAAGCAAAGAAGTTGGACTCAAAAGTTTCTGAGCTGTGTTCATGTTCTGCCTTCCTGCCTGCATGTATAACACATTTTTCTTCTTTGTTCCTAGGAAGAAGAACATAAATTACTTACCACATTACAGTTGTTGTACACTATAGGATATTATTTTTCTCTCATCTCACTTGTATTAGCTCTCCTTATACTTTCTTTCCTCAGGTTAGTACAAATTTACATGTGTTTTAAAAGTACAGACCCGAGTATGCACACTCTTCTTTTCAGGTAACTTAATTTGCTGCTCAGCTTCTGATGTAAATAACTTGTATTTGCTTAATAAGCATTATACAAGCAATTCCTAAGCAAAATCAATGAATGGCAACAATTTGAATACAACAGTATTTTTTTTTATTTCTGAAAATTAAATATATTCCAGAGGATTCATACATTACTTTTTCTCCCACAGAAAACTTCACTGCACAAGAAACTACATCCATATGAATTTATTTGCATCTTTTATCCTGCGTGCCATGGCAGTTCTAATAAAAGACACCGTATACTACAACATTTACTCCAAAAGACCAAATGACGAAACTGGATGGATACTGTATCTCAGTCCTGAGGTAACTTGTTAGTTCATTGCTAACAGCAAATGTAAGCTGCTAGTGGCAGTAAGAGTGACCGTTTTGGAAGTTTGCCATATGACAAGAAGTTATGATGAGATTTTTTAGTTAAGCTTTGAATGCTGAAATTTTGCTGATAAAGCTTGGGGTAATCAAGAAAAAAAAATCTGATTTGATAAGTTGTAATAGATTGGTTATATATGAAGCCTTGTATTAAAAAGTTGAATTAATCAATAATTATATTTAGAAATATCCCATTAAGCAAAACAACATGGCCCTGTAGTTTTTAGGAAAAAATCTACACATTTATTTGGCATTTCTATAACACTATATTTATTCACTCTTGGTATGCATAGCACAATGCAATGCACACAAATCTTGCTATTGAGACAATATTATCAAACTGTATTTGCTGGGAAAAAACACTAAAAGAGAAAAAAAAATAGTTTAAAGGCTTTTCTGTGTTAAGAATATATGCTAATTTTTTTACACTTGTTGAGATAATAGAATGACAACATCTCTCATTTGCAACCACTGTGGATTTATTATACTTGAATGATGCTGTATGAATATAGTTTGCCCATATCAACAAGCAAAATTACCTGCAAGATGTTAATGGTAACTATTATATAAATAGCTCATCAGTAAAAATTCTCATATGCAGATCACAACAAAGAACTCTGTGTTCTGATATGCAGAACACAACAATATCCCAGACTACACTGTCATTGTCTTTTCCTACCTCCACTCAAACCCACTGACAATGTAGAAGCCTTTAAATTGTTTCACTCCGCTCTTGCCTCTCCTAAGCAGCAAGGAGAGTCTTGTGAGATATGCAACCAAACCACAGTTACATCGCAGTCATGTGCTAGTTTTAAAGCGGTTGCTAAAGACACAAGAGAAAAGCACGATTTTTCAGAGCTTTTATATATTAACAATGATTCCCGATCTCTCATTTCTACAGATTGTAACCATTTGCAGGACTGCCCAGTTTTTCATGCACTACTTTGTTGGGGCAAATTATTTTTGGCTGTTAGTAGAAGGAATTTATCTGCATACGTTATTGATAACTGTTGTACTCTCTGAAAGACGACTGCTACAGATGTATGTTGTGATAGGATGGGGTAAGTACGTAACAATTTCCAGGTTCTTGTTTCTGTGGTATTTTATTGAGTCAGCGGTGGATATTTTGTAGTTAAGAAAAAAAATCTGAACATTTTTGTTTGTTTGTTTGTTTTAAAGTCAACAGTTGTCAACAGTTTTCAGTAAGGTATGTCAGCAGTGATACCATTCAGTGCAGTTCAGGTTAATCTGCAGATACAGGAAATGGGTGGAATCAGGCTGGGTCGATGGGCTGAGACCAACGGGATGAGGATCCTGCACTAGGGTCATAACAATCTCATGCAGTGTTACAGGCTTGGGGCAGAGTGGCTGAAGAGCTGCCGGGCAGAAAAGGACCTGGGGGTGTTGGTTGTTTGTTGGCTGAACATGAGCCAGCAGTGTGATTAACAATTTTAACAATTGTTATTTAATTGTTGTTTAATTGTTATTGAACAATATTAACAATTTTCTTTTATATGTTCACCTCCCTAGCTCACCTTAAAGTTCTGAAGTGTACTTTAAGTTAGGGGACAATCTGAAACACTGCATGATTCAGGTTTTATTTCAGGCATTTTTCATGGAATAAAGACGATGTAAAGTTAGTTACAAGCATTTGGACAACTTTGTGTAAATTATGCTGTGTAATCTGACGATTACATTTGTTGCTTACTCAAGGGGCATAATTCTGTATCTTGCCTGTACAAAGGAGAAAATTAAGGTTTCTCAACTCCCAATGATAATTTAAAATCTACCTGTACAACTCTCAGGCATTTGAAGGTTTTAAATTAAGATTAAAAATGTACTCTTAGACAATATGCAGGTTTGTTGCAAGAGTTATTGATTCAAATCCAGTGGCCCGAGCTAAGGAGGAGGATAGGATGGATGGCCATAAGAATTTCTGACTGTAAAACATTTATCAATGTATGGTTTTCCAAGTTGGTTCACTATCACTATGTCTGTCTGTTGAACTATGTTGTCAAATGTAAAATTGTGTATCCAGGATTGTGGGACTGTAGTGTATAGCCCATAAAAAAAAAAAAAAGAAAAAAAAGAAAAAGTTATCTTTAGAAGGATTTTATTGTGGTAGACAATTATATAGTTGTGAATAAAGTATTCCATATTTACTGTACTGTACTGCTTGCTAATCTTATCTACCGAAGATAAACAAGCATGATTTTAAAGGGGAGTTTAAACTCAAACATAAATAGCATAACCAAATGGCAGCTAACATTGAATTATAATCATTACAGTTGGAATGCTACAATATTTACATGTTTAAATGAAATTTTGGTTATTGTTATTAAGTCTGGAATAAACAGTTTGACAGTAATTCATGTCATTCAGTTTTAGTTGTCTAAAGTTATACTATGCTTTCTCTGTAACAATTGCAGGGAATGAAGACAGTTCACTTTAATTCTCTTTGACATCTGTCTTACCTCTTGAATTTTGAAATGGGAATTGGATAGCATCTAAAAAAATAGCCTACGGGAGAAATTCCTAGAATTAACTGAATTTCAGACAAGGCCATTTTTCATGCTTTTCTAATATGACTGTATTAATTTATAAACAAAGGACCATTGCTGTAGAAAAATGCTAACCACAAAAGCAAGATCCAAACCAGGACTTCAGCATCTAAAATACCACACAGGGGGGAAGCTGAGCAAAAAGGTTTCAAAGGCATGATATAAAACCCTGTTGAAGTACACAATATAACTTCATTTAGGAAAAAATTATCTGGTCTGAGAGAATAAAGATCCACTAGTAAGCCAGAAACCTTAACTGTCTTTTGTGGAAATGGCTTGTGTTTATTACTACTGATGAAATTAAAAGGTACATTACTTTTGTCACTTAAAGCATTTGAACCAGGTTTTGAGTATGCATGAGCAAGTATTGTATGCATTGTTCTGAAGTACAGTCCAGCAGATTGCTTCACTTTGTGCATCTTGTTATCAGAGATCAATAAAAAATTACTCAGACCCAGTAACTTTGGTAGTGGTACATTTTGGAGAATTAAATCAGTTAGTTACAAGTGAATGTAAAACTCATAGTTGACATTGTGCCATTTTTTTCCTTTTGTTAACAATAAGAACACCTATGCTCTTTTTTTTTTTGTTTTACAGTTTTAAATCTGAAATAAGATTTTTTTTAGCTTCCTGTAAAAACAGAAGAATTCTAGCAGACTGTTCAACACCTCAAACATCTTAGTTCTTTAAAGACCAGATAAAAACTAGCATAGAAGTTAAGAAATTGAAATAAGATTTTATTTAGCTTCCTGTAAAAACAGAAGAATTCTAGCAGACTGTTCAACACCTCAAACATCTTAGTTCTTTAAAGACCAGATAAAAACTAGCATAGAAGTTAAGAAATTCAGGTTGTTTTCGTCTAGCCTTGTGAGAAACTTAGGAGTATTGGGGCCTTGATGATAAATGTAGAGCCTTTGTGATTAACTTGACAACAATTTAGTAAGGTAGAAAGATCTGAGAGTACATAACAAGGAGGTGTTTGCAATGGAAACAGACATGTTTTTAGAAACGTCAGTCCATGCATATATAGCAAGTGCTGTAACCTCAGGAAAGTTTCATTTCCATGTTTAAACAAAAATGTTGATCTATTGTTTAAATCAAAATTATGTCATTGTAGAGCATAATCTGATATTTTGACATCAAATGAGAAAGGCGCATCAGGAAAAATCATTGCTTTTACTCGAGGAAGTATGTACAATGAGGAAGGGTATGTTTAATTGCATACTTTGAAAAAAGTTACTTTTTTTCACATCCGAAACAGAAGCTTTGATCTTCATTCTCATTAACTTTATCAAGTTAACTCAGTAAACAATTTGATGGATATCAGTGTTCAATAACTATGATGAAGAGATAAGAAAAGCCTAAACAAACTAGTCATCAATCATTTGAACACATTACCTCAAAGTCAATACTAGATACTCAGATGCAGTTCTTCCAGGTTCCATGGTAGATATGAAATTCCACATATAAAATCTTTTTTCACCAAATCCACTCACACATTTAAGATGAGAAGAACATGTACATATATGTAAGGATATTTCAGCTCAGATTTGGTGACCTAAAACTAGGTACATGCTGCAATAGGGCTATGGAGGATGATGTTTTGTCAGGACAAATACTAACCAGAAACTGTTTCAAATTCAAATATTGCATTTGGGTACTTGGATAGAAATTTGCTGATTAAAATTGTCTCAGGTCTTTTTGCAAAACACGTCTAGATTCTCAAGGTAAAGGCTCTTGATAAAAAAGGAGATAAAATACTCTCCCATATCCTTTTCTGCACAGTCAATGGTGAGTTGCAAGTATCCCAGACTAACTTCCTTATGTTTACAGGGAAATCAAGTTGTTAATATTAAAAAAGTGAAAACTTTCCTAATTATTTAAATATGAAGTCAGGCTCCATATGATTAAAACAGAATTCTAAATTTTTTCATCCTGAGGCCATCTTCCAACCTGTCACTCCTCTGCTTCGCTTGTGTTTGAGTTCTCTGAGTGGTGTTTTCATATTAGACTTCCTGTAGGTTCCTAGGATCAGGTAGTGCTTATATCTTTAGTTTAGTCTACCTAATGGCGAAAGGGATTCATTTTGTATAAGGTTAAATTTAGGTAACTAGTATGAGACCCGCTCTAGAACCAAAGGAAGAAGACAAGTAACTTTGAAGAATTAATTATTGCAATGTTTAAGAGAAGTGCAATATTACATTAATTCTTTCATACATCTTTAGATATAGTTACATTGGAACTTGTCCTATTTCCTACAGCATTCCTTTCTCCGGCCTCACCTGTATTCATCCACTATGGTACTGTGAAGATTATTTTTCAAGCTTACAGTTTTGAACATGCTATCTCGTTATTGATGTCACTCCTTTTCCACTTTTCCTTCTTCCTTATCAGATATTAACCACTTTCCTTCATTTTCACACTCATTTCCATCTTCCTCATCTACTAAAAGTTTCTGTCAAAGCATAACACCACACTTAATTGTCCATTGCCTAGCTTCTTGGTTTTCTTCTCTGCTGCAGCTTGCACTTAAGAGGGTCCTTCTCACCATTCATGCCTTGATTTCTCTGTTCCCTCTCACATTCCTCTTTAAAGATCCTTTGTGCTATATTAATATAGCTGTATTAGCATATAGGCTGCTGACACAGCAAGACCACTGTCTTTCACACTGGTTAGTGTTGTCTCATTGCTTCCTCACTCTTCCCACCTCTCTAAATTGATTTATTGCTTTGATCACCAGCTCATTGGAACAGGGACTAATTATTTTATTCGTTTATCAAACTGCAACAGGGCAAGTCTATTAAGAAATTTGCTCACTACTGTAGGAGTATAAATAATAAAGATCATCTCCCTGTCAGTCCCACTCTGTTTCTCTCATACCTGTATCATGTTCACTGATTTCCTAAAGACTTTTTTCCAAATAATAAGCTTAATTTCTTATTTATATTTACTAGAATTGCTACTAAGAGGGGACATCTAGAACCTGTCTTAGACATTATGTAGTACTGCTGCTGCTGAGCCAGCAGGGGTGAAGCCTGCTTGCACCTGCTGAGACACACTTCCTCAGCTACTGTCCAAGAATTGCACTTGATAACATCACCACATCCTCACAGCTATCATCTTTCCCTGTAGGACAACCTCATATATCCCCAGGACATGTACCTCCTGCCCCAAGGATTGTTCTCTCATATCCACTTATTGTACCAATGTCATCCCCCACGCAAATGAGACCCTTTCTATCTCTTTCTTCATTTTACCCACTCAGAGGTCCATTATCTCTGAAAGTATTTTGCGTCTGGCCCTTTCCCTGTATTGCCACATTCCATCTCTCACCATAACTTTAGCTAGTGTCCCAGAGTCTTGAATAGATCCTGTTCTGGCTCCAGTGACTCACATCATCTTTTCTTTCTGTCACACCCACCAGAAAATCTTCTGTGTGTTATTGGCTGAGAATCCAGTCAAACACCTGCCTTCTGTAGCTCCCATGCCTTATGCTTGTGATTGAAGCTTGTGCCTGCACATTTGTAGACTGGAATGGTGTAATAATCCTTCATTTCAGTCTGCTATGATCTCCAGGAGGAGAGGAAACAATAGGGGAAGGTAGACCATAGAATCATGGAATGGTTAGAGTTGGAAGGGACCTTAAAGATCATCAAGTTCCAACCCCCCTGCCATGGGCAGAGAGACCTCCCACTAGAGCAGGCTGCTCAAAGACCCATCCAGCCTGGCCTTGAGCACTTCCAGGGATGGGGCACCCACAGCTTCTCCGGGCAACCTATTCCATTGCCTCACCACCCTCACAGTAAAGAATTTCTTTCTGGTATTTAATCTAAATCTCCCCTCTTCCAATTTACAACCGTTACCCCTTGTCCAGTCACTACAGTTCCTGATAAAGAATCCCTCTCTGGCTCTCCTGTAGGCTCCCTTCAGATATTGGAAGGCTGCTATAAGGTGTCCCCAGAGCCTTCTCTTCTCCAGGCTGAACAACCACAACTGTCTCATCCTGTCTTCATAGGAGAGGTGCTCCAGTCCTCTGATCATCTTCATGGCCTTCCACTGGACTCATTCCAACAGGTCCATGTCCTTCCTGTGTTGAGGACTCCAAAGCTGGACACAGTACTCCAGATGGGGTCCCAGGAGAGCAGAGTAGAGGGATAGAATCACTTCCCTTGACCTGCTGACCACACTTCTTTTGATGCATCCCAGGATGCAGTTGGCTCTCTGGGCTGCCAGTGCATGTTGCTGGCTCATGTTGACCTTCTCATGCACGAGCACTCCCAAGTCCTTCTCCTCAGGGCTGCTCTGCCGCCATTCTCTCCCCAACCTGTAGTTGTGCCTGGGATTGCCTCGTCCCAGGTGCAGGACCCTGCACTTGGCTTGGTTGAACTTCATGCAATCTGTATGAGCTAGGAAAGGCAAGACAGGAAAGCAAGCCTTTGTCAGTTGTTTTAATTAACTAGACAGAGTTCCATGCCTCCATTGAAAATTCTTTAAGGTTCAACAAATAAAAATGTTGACAACTGGTGTGGGGCCTCAAGTGCCAATTATTTTGAATTCTCAGGGTCAAGAATTTAGATTTGGACATGTCAGCAGTGTATGGGTATGTATATATATGTATATATCAATCTGAAAATTCAACTATACAATGAAATTTCATTTTGTATTTGCACTACAAATGGGAAGAGCTGGAATCAGGTTGATTTTTGTACAATTCTAAACAGAAGACAGAAAAGCATATGTCTTTGTACCACGCACTACTGTAACATATCTGTGGTTTTTTATTAACCATTCCGCAAGCTTGGCTGTCATTGACTCCTTTTTTTTCCAGTTGTTCCTATCCTGTTTGTGGGCCCTTGGGGAATAAGCAGATCAAAGCTGGAGAACACTGGGTAGGTTACTAAATAAAATGTGCTATAGAATACTGGCTTCCTGTTTTCATATTTTTTCTGGAAGCCCTTGGCAGTAATTGACACAGGTTTTGACTATGAGATTATATTAAGATTATACAGCATTTATTCATACATGTTACATTTTGTTGGTTCATTTGAGCACTTTTGCATTAAACTGCTTCTAGGAATTCTCTGATTTACTTATGCATAAATCAAGTACATTTACTGTTTCTGAAATAAAAGCTATTGCATCCAATGTTCATCCACTTATATGAAGCAAATTGTCAGCACAAACATCTTCATGGAGAGGAAAAGGAGACCAGTGCTTTTCTCAGAGGTCATCTACACTTTAAGATTAATTAGTATTCACTATTATTTTGAAAAAAAAACATTGTTATGGAGGCTAATGGCAAAAACTGATATTCAGTAAAAGCTGATATTAAATGAATGTGTTCAGTATTCAGTGAATGAATCACTAAGAGTAACTTGCACTAGTAAGCATCAGTTTTCCAGTATTCTGGTTTTCAATTATAGTCTCATATAATTAGATGATATATAGACCGCAAATGACAAGCCAAGAACCTATGGGCTGATTTAAGGCTAATTAGAAAGAAGGAATATGTGCATAGGACAAATTAGAAGGTTAGAGCAGGAGGAAAGGAGACAGTTTCAAGGAAACAGTATGCATACTTTTTAGCAGGTCCAGAACCATGATTGCAATTCATAGTTTAGACATTTCTAGTTTCCGGTTTCAGACAGATAAATTTGAGTAGGGTGAATTCAATTACGAAGGTTTGCTGCCATGTACAGTTGTTGTGTGGATCCAAAGACTGAGTTTGCCAGATAGTTCTAAGGTTTACAGTCTAGGGAAACATCTCTCAACATTCTGGAGGAAAGATTACAACTGTTGTGAGACTCTTCATTTTATTCCATTTCTACTGGGTGCCACCTTTCAGTAGATCTTTGTCACCTTCTTTTTAAAACATATACATTATGTAAGCTTTCTATTTTTTTCTATGAAAATAATGTAATTATACTTTAAATTACTCTTCAGGTGCTGGGGAACAAATGAACACATGGGAATTTGGTGGATCATCCGAGGACCAATGCTATTTTCCATAGCAGTAAGAATTATTTCATTTATGCATAATATCAAGCACAAGTGCGATTGTCTTTTGTGATCCTTTCTCCAAGTATAACACAATTCTCAGATTAGAAAAGATGAGACAGAAAAAAATTGAAAATGAAGTATTTTACTGTGGGTGGATGGGAATAGTTCCTTTCTGTCTATCTAGAAACAACAAAGATTTCAGTGTCAACCTCTCAAAACACTGATGTTTATCTGTGCATTGAATTCTGCACAGCTCCATCTATATCAAAGACAGAGCCTTTTTCTTCTCATATTTTTTACTACTTCTATTTTTACCCTCATTTTCTCAATAAGCAAGTTACTTAGGAGAGCGCTATAACGTGGTAAGCATCACTAGAAAACTTCAAATTTTCTATAGAGGAAGTTCTTTTGATAACAAGGATGCAGAGAAGTAGCAACAGAAGTACTGATGGTCATGGGGAGAAAGCATTCACCTAATGAAAAAAGAAATGAATCATAGCATGACAAGACTGAATTATGAATTTTTTTATTAAATAAATGCAAAAAAAGTGTACACCTGGAATGCAGTGATAATGAAGAGATGGAAATAACATAATCAAAACAACTCATGAGGACATGGTTATGAACACAGAATTTTGATAGGTGGGACTATGGTGTGTGTCTAGAATACCTTGTATTCCCACACAGTCAGCAAAGCATAAAAGGATTAGAGGAATAAGTGATTTGGTTAGCTAGACAGATGGCGATTGTTGTAAAGAAGAGATGTACTTTACTCATGCAAATGTGTATGGGGAATAAAAGATGGATTGCTCAAAATTTAATATTGAGGAACTGATGCATTTAATGCATCAGTTGGAAAGGAGAGCATTTGTTTCTGTCACACTGGAGAAAAGATGTGTAAATTAAAACTTTAGAGAAGAAACAGTGGACTATGTTTTGCTGCTGCTGACTTGGAGACAACTGTGTGAAAGAGAAAGTGGGCATAATTAGAACTGAGCTGTGAAACAGAGGAACACACTCAGTAGCCATCAAAACCAGTAAATAATTAGAAGGAAAGTGGAAAATTCTCTATCAAAAAAAAAATAAATGCTGTGGAGAGAGGAGCCAGAAAAGAAAGCAAAAAGACCTGAGAGGTAAGAGGAGACAAAAGCCAAAAAAGAGCATTAAGAAAGTCTGAAACTGTCCCAAAACTAAGGGAAAGGTAAAGATGGACCAAGCCCATACTTGAGGGAATCTGAACCAATTTCTTCCTGGGTATATCTAGTTCTGAAAGAAGACTCAATATTTGGTTTATTTTTTCAGGGCTGAGCATTAAAAATGCAGCTAGTGGAACACAACCAGCAGAAACATGTAATAGCATTCATATTACATCAAAGAGATGAAGTGTTTTGCTTTCGTTGCAAGAATATTAAGTTCACTGATGTTAATATGCTCAACCCAGAGCAAGTCATCTGAATAATAAGAAATTAAACTAGCATAAGAGGGAGGAATGCACTTTGAAGTAATTTGAAGACTAGCATTTGGGTGAAGATAATCAGCAATTTAAAAATACCTTTTAATTAAGCTATTTCTCTACAATTTCCTTTTAGTCAGTGACCCAGTAGGTCATAATTGCTAATGTAAATCAGTGCAAAGGACTGAGGATGTGAACCACTGTTTTTAGCAAGATTGCATGTTACATCAAGCACACTGCATGTTGGAGGAAATGATTATTCCTCTCTGTTCAGCACTTGTGAGAGCACATCTGGAATACTTTAGCCTTCTTAAGACATTAACATACTAGAGACAGTCCAACAGAGGCCATCAAGGCTACTGGGGCCTGGAGCGCATGATGTACCAGAAGAGGCTGAGTGAACAGGGTTTGTTCAGAATTAAGAAGAGAAGGCTAAGAAGGAATCCAATTGCTGTCTTCAGTAGCAATAACAATGGGGGCATATGGGGCCAGGAGGGTACAGCAAAAGGATGGCAGAAAATAGACAAAAGCTGTAACATACCAAGTCAGACTAGATATAAGTAAATTTCTAAGGGTAGATTTCTAACCTTAATTCAGATATTAATTCACAGAAATATCAAGGTGGACATAAAGTGACAGAAGAGATAACATTTTGTTCAAAAATCCCTCTAACTAAAGTTAGCAAAAAGAGAGGTCATCTTAGGTTTACATGTAAATAGATAGATACACATATATGTTATTCCTCTAGCATTATTTTTAATCCCTGCTTTTTTGCATTATATTTTGGTATCTTCTGCCTTGGTGCTATTTTCCAGAATCAGATAGCCACAACAGTTTAATTTACTCTAAGCATGTAACCTCTGATCATTATCAGTGCTAATAAATCATTAAGTATTACAAAATACAGAAAAAGTGTAAAAGATACAGCATTATCAGTTAGTCTTTATGGATGTCTTTCTACAGAAGAACAAGCAGCAGCTGGAGTTGAAGCTGTTTCACCTCCCAGCAATGTGTAAAGAGGACCAGGCTCAGCTTCTTCCTGGGGTGACTTTCTTAAACCAAATTGCTTGACTGTTGAGTCTTGTAGTGTTGAGTCCCTGAAGTCGTGAAGGCACTGGCCTATCTTCAGCCTGTGTATTTTGATACCAATGCTCATTTTAGAAGAAGTCATAAACTTTCAAATATCACTAAGACGTCCCATTGCTGTTAGGTTGCAGGATATTCTGTCTAAGATTGTTCCTCTGAATCACACTGAGTGACCCTTACTTAGAAATTACTTTTAAGGCAAACAGGAAACATATGTGCAGACCTGATGTTACAGAATCCAGTTTGCCAGTGTACGTGGTGGTGGCCAGCAGCGGAGCTGAACATGGGCAGATTTCTTCTGTGGCTTGGTCAGTGTCAGCATCACTCCATCTCTGATACCATGGAAGTGGCAGACAAGGAATCAATGAGAACTGATATTGAAAGATTAAGCAAAAGGGATGATATCAGATATTGCAGGAAAATGGAAAGTTGAATGTGACTCGAAATGGGGAATAAGAATAAGCAAAGAGTGGTGAAGAGGAATTAAGAGGATGCTCAGCAAGATAAATTGGATAGAGGGTCAAACACAATATGGAGGCAAGACAAATACATAGTGGGCAGAAACGAAGGGATTAGAAACCCAGAGACAAATAATTCAATAACCTTCTCAATGTCCTGCTCTTGAATATAATTCAACAAACGTATCTAAAATCCACCAGAAAAATGTGTGTCAGCACTACCTAATGATGGTTGTGCATGGATTACAATGGCCAGGTTCTGCAGCTGGACCCTGTTCTCATAGGACATAAGTTGGTGTACAGGCCAAAAGCTGGGGAAGTACAACCCTAGGCACCAGTATATGCTAGGGTCTGCCCAGGTGGAAGGTGGCTTTGCAGAAAAGGACTTGGGGGTCCAGGCAAACACCAAGTTGACCGTGAGCCAATCATTTGCTCTTGTGGGGCAAGAAGATGAATGGTATCCTGGGCTGCCTCAGTAAAAACATTGTCAGCACATCAAGGGAGGTGATCCTTCCCTTCTGCTCAGCACTGATGAGGCCACATCTAGAATGCGGTGTCCAATTCTGGGCTCACCAGTAAAAGAAACATACTGGAAAGACACCAACAAAGGGCCACAAGGATGACTAAGGAACTGGAGCTTCTCTCCCATAAGGAAGGCTGAGAGAGCCGGGAGTGTTCAGCCTGGAGAAGAGAAGGCTTGGGGGATCTCATCAATGTATATAAATACCTGAAGGAAAGGCACAACAATGATGAAGCCAGGTTCTTTTCAGCAACGCTCAAAGAGAGGACCAGAGGCAATGGGCACAAACTGAAACAAGAAGTTCCCTCTGAATATCAGGAAATGCTTTTTAACTGTAAGGGTGACCAAGCAGTGACACAAGTTGCCCGGAGAGGTTATGGAGTATCCATCGATGAGCACGAGGGCTGGACAAGGTGGCCTACAGATGTGTTTGCCAACCTTAACTACTCTGTGATTTTGTGATTTTGCTTCAATGTTCTAGGTAAAATTCTGCCTTTTCTATTAAACATGGAGAGTAAAAATATTACAATCTTATGGCAATCATTTTCAATGAAGTTTTAGTGTTTTCTGTGAAAAGAAGTTCATAATGGAAAATCATTTTTAGAATAAACCAAATTTTCCAGACAAAAGTCACTTTGGAGAGAAAATTGTTGCTAGGTCTACTTTTGAAGAATCTTACAGTGTTGACTATGATGAATTCTTTGTATTTGTAAAAAGAAAACATTAGAGTGAAAGGAGAAGTCAAATTCTAAAAGTTAGAAAAGATCAGGAGTTATCCATGTAAAGGTAACTCACCCCTTCTTGTACATATGCACATCTATCTCTCCCCTAACTTGTCAAAAGAGCCCACAACATGAACTAATGCTGCAGAATAAAACAGGAGAACAGTCTGTAAAACATGCTGTTCAGTAACAGATGTGTGAATGATAAGGTGCTGCATGAGGAAAAAGAAAGACCCTGAGCTTAAGGTAGTTCAATGCTGCCTCAGGAAATTGCTTTCCAACTCTGTTGCCTCAATGCTAGGCAAAATATCACAACTGTCTACTAAGTTCTGATTTTTGCTTTTTGAATGTCTGGGCAGCCAATGAGGTAAGGGTTAGGCACTTCCAGTTGCAGTCAAAGTAACAAGTATGATACACTCAATAACATGATGTTGATGTTAAGTGCTCTGCAAAACCAAACCAAAGCACTTTAACTGGTCAGATCTTGCACTTTGGACCTCCATCTATTTCATCTATTTATGCTTTTTTTGTCGTTTTTTTTTTTTTTTTTAAGGGAATAATATCCACTTAACACCCTGTGATGTTTTAAAGTTACATTTGTGCATATTTGAGGAGGACAGCATGAAAAGTGGTCAATTCTTTACATAGAACAAGAACTAGGGCTCCAGCAGTAATACCTACACATCAAAAGAAGACAAGAAATGTAGTCCTGAATAATTGTCTATCCCCAAAATGAGGAATTTTTGTGTTAAAATTAAAATGCAATTTTGTACTAGAAGATCATGTATCATAATGTGTATGTAAATCAAACTGAATAAGGCAATGCTAAGTTTCTCACCTTTTCAACCTTAGTAACTTTTTTGCATAGGGCTTTTGGTTTTTGGAAGTGATATAGTTAATGACTCATAGGCATTTGCAGGCCCTATGTGAAAAGAAATACTTGCAGATTGGTCTTGGCCAAGTCAGCACAGTTTATTTATTATGACTAGATGATCTCCAGAGGTCCCTTCCAACCCCACATGATTCTATGATTTAACAAAGGAATGAATTGCTCATAAAAGAATACCCAGGGCTTCCTTGGCTGGCTGCTTAGAACCTCTTTACGTGAAGAATTGCAATCACTGCTGGTTTTTGCCACATCCTGATTACCTGTCATGGTTTGGTGTATGACCTAAATGTATATAAACTCTGTTAACTGCCTCATTTGGAGAGAGTTGATACCAGCAGAGTCTATCAGTTCTGCTCTGTGCTCTCTGCTGCAGCGGTGGAAATAACTTGCTTCTGTTCTGACCTGATCACAAGTGCATTCCGGTTATTTGCTGACAGGTTTTACAAGTGTTTAATATCACTTTTATCTTTCTTTAATAGCTATATGAGTAGTGTTATAGCATTTATTGTAAGTAACTCATATGTTTTTTCTTTCAAGGTTAACTTTGGCATCTTCTTAAAAATTCTCAGGATGCTGATTTCCAAACTAAAAGCTCAGCAAATGAGCTTTCATGACTACAAATACAGGTGTGTGACAAATAACAAAGAACTCCTATCCTTTTTTTTTTCCTTACATTGTCAGAAGGTTGCCAGTTAGCCCTTGTAGATCAGACATTTATCAACCACCACCAGGTGTAACAGATATTCAGAGTATGATATAGGAAAGCCACAGAATCCGCAAACATTTTCTTACCTGAGAAGTAAAGGCAGGTCAGCACCTGTGTGCTGAGTGTTATGGACATTTTCTCAAGGACTTTGCAATGCAGTAAGATGTCTGCTCTCAGGTGTCCTCACTGTACACCTGCGGCCTCTACTGCTGTGTCACATTTTATTCCTCGAGTGTGACAAAAGGTCCTCAAAAGTAAAGGGGATGTAAAATATTTGTGGGACATTCCTAAATGACAGCATTTCTGATCTAGCTTTTTTCATAGATGCAGATACTGTTGACTCAGGAACGTCCCTGGTCTTCTTGAAAACCCAAGTGAGAACATTATCCTTAGCCTATAATCTTGCACGTCCTGGTTTGGGCTCTCTTGGACAGAGTCTTAATGGTACATTATGTCTTATGTAAAGTCCTGGAGTTCACCTTTTCACCAACACCTTCCCCCTTTGTGAGAACAGCAAGGGCAGGCAGCTCTGCAAAGAGATGTGTGCACTGAAAACTGCTCTTAAATCAATGGAAACCTGAGGGTTTGTGAACTGGTTTCCACACCCCAGTTTCCCAGTTCTTTCCAGTTCTTAGTATCTTTAATCAAAACATTGTGAATCCATGCCTGCTACTACAGTCCTGTCTTACTAAGATAAATTGTTTTATTGTCTGTCAGGACTAGGTAGGGGGATGGGTGGCTGAGGGCAGAGACCAGAATGGAAATTCCACAACTAGCTTCCTATTAAATTCCAGTATTAGATCCCTAAAAAGAAAAGTACTTCCATTTTACTTCAACATGCAAGGTCCGAAAGATCTCAGCTATATTCTCCATATTGCTACAGGAAGATTAATGATGATAGTCACAGACAGCAGTGCCTGTATTTAACATTGTCTGATGTTTTTAGTTGTATTCTTTTTTTCTACTGCTTATAACTGTGCTAAACTTTCAAAGATTCAAGCCATTCCTCACATCGCAAGTCTTCCTTAGAACTCACTTTTGAGATCTCTTCTTTTATCTATGCAAACATGTTCCCAGACTTGTTAAAGAAGATTCTCTTCCATAATGATTATTCTAATACCATTACACAGTCAGAATATTGAGGGAATATTTCTGGAATAATTTCTTTGTAGCTGAATTTCTTGGTTTTGTGCCAAGGATGTTGAAAAAATACTATAATTGAACATTTTCTTTTTAAGATTGGCGAGATCTACACTTGTGCTAATTCCACTGTTGGGGATCCATGAATTCGCATTTACCTTCATCACTGATGAGCAGGTGGAAGGACTTTCAAGACACATAAGACTTTTCATTCAGCTGACAATGAGCTCATTTCATGTAAGTACTGTTTTGCAAGTACTGTTTTTAGGGGTCATAGATCCACATATATATGTAGCTCACCTATACGTGCTACAGATATACAGTATTCTTATTTAATATTATGCTCCAACCTATAATGTCTCTAAATATGCTATTATAGTGAAAAGATAAAAAATTCACAAACTGTATATTCAAAATATGGTAGTCCCAAAGACCAAAAAAGCAGCTTGACATCTTTAGAAAAAGCGTGTCCTGTGTTCTGTGGTAATGGGTAACAGTTTGTCACAGACCCCTGTTCTGAAAACAGGATTGAAGTTTTTCACATGATAATTCCTAAAAAGCACTGGGTAGCTTTTTTTTACCAAGATTTTCAGGGAATCTGTTGACTTTGCAGTCACACTGAGGAGAGAGCTAGTTCTGGACTCATCTTGTTCAGTGTACACGTCCGGCATACTTCAAACTCACTACAATGACCTTGTTGTTGTGCCACTGTACAAACAAAAAACAATCAAGACTCTGTACCAGGACATACAAGGATCAGCTTCACTTTAGCTTGGGTAGTTGGGGCACTGTTATGGCTGACACATCACTGACACAGTGGGCCATATGGAGCAGTCCTTACCTTTCAGGACTTTTTCCAAAAGAAGTTCAATGTAGACTACGTGGCATTTGGGGCACTTTGATGAAAGGAGTTGCAGATCTGAATACTGTGAGATCAACGAGGAGAGTTAAAACATATGATGTGAGGAGAAGCATGCGAAGAATAAGCAGGAAGAGCTTTGTGTGGGGTTCCAGCCTAGATGGCACACTCTAGGTATGCTTACCAAACTAATGTCCTCAAGCAAGTACATTGCAGACACATGTTGTACAAGAACTTTGTCAGGGCCATGACTCACCTGAGTCGTGCTTTTCAGCAGTTGTAACAGAGGTACTTCCATGCAAACCTAGAGAAAAACCCAAAGACATTTTTAATGCCAAAACCACACTTACGTGCTTCAGGCACTTACATACTTAAGGCCTCCATAGTTTTCATATAGGCATCAAAGATGTCAGCTGAGATGCCCTTTTGAGGACTTCAGACTGGGGCTTCTCTCTTTCATGGATTGAAGTATAAATTGAACAAAGCACTTACTGCGTCAGAAGTGAAACATAGAAAGCCATGAATTCAGTGAACAGGAACCAGTAAAAAAGTCCACTTTTGCAGACTAGACCCCTGATTACTGCACACATCTGTAAAATGGAGACAACACAGGCCCCAGCAAGGAGATGGTTCAACCTGTTTCACCGAAGTGCTCAATAAGGCTTCCACAGCACCATTTCTTCCTGCCCAAACAAAGCTGTGTAAGCCAGCAACCAAAGAAGCAAAATAAACTGAGAAGAAGGAGGATGAAAGAGGATCTGAATCTGTGGGTTAGCAGTTAGGGTAGCTGGCTGGGAAAGGAATGCTTTGAGGCCTCGGCACCTGACCCTGAATGTTCATAACATTTACATTAACTAAGTATAAAGTCGAAAAAGTAAGAGAAAATTAAAGTAAGAGAAAAGCAAGGACTTAAACATCTTAGTACTTGCCTTACTCATACGATACTTCCGCTCAGCATCATGAGACCTGGCAGTAGTCAACATTAACCTTCCTTATTTCAAGAGAAGGCGCAGATGTACCTCTTCCCAGAGAGGGTGGTGGCTAGGTGACTACTGGTGGCGGCTTGGCTGTGCCTATGGTGAGGCACTAGGTGTTTCTTGTACTTCCAGGCTACTGAGCAAAATATAGGCTATATCACAACAGCCATCTTCTCCTTTGAAGAAAAATGCATTGACCCACTGACATAGCTGGATCCTTACTACAGGTGTCTAAGTCCATTCAAGGAAGAACTGAAGGAGTTGCATTTTCTGCTTTGTCATTTTCTTCTTGGCTGCTTTGTATCTCAGCTTCCATTTACTGGACTATTGGGAGTCCTAGTATAGGTGCCCAGTACCCCACAATCCACCCCATTCAGTGTATACAGGAGCTCAGTGCTTAACTGACACTTGAGAAAATTGCACTTAGTCAGCCTGAGTTTCAACCTTGGGTCACAACATTTAACTCCTTACTGAATATAGTTTCCTAACCCTTAAATGTTTGTATTGGCCATGTTCCTACTGGTTGAAGGACTTTTAGTATTTTCTCCCAGCAATACAAAGATCACCTCTACATTTTCCTCCCTTGGTTCCGGAGATTTACATCTGGCAAGGTCAACACATGTAAACCTGTGACTCATATATACTCCCGTATCTTTATAGGAAGCTGTTTTTCCTCCTGGTAATCATTTCTGCTTGATGAACAGGACACCTCTCCCCATTTTGGTTACAAATAACTATAAAAGGAGACTACATGAAGTCAAAGTCCTTATGGGATGCCATTAATAAATTCTAACTAATAATAATAACATAATAAATTCTAACTAAGATTTTAAAAGAGTCTCTTTTTAATGGAGTTGCCATATATCCAGTTCTCTCAGAAGGCACACAAGGTAAATCAGGTAGCAATTTAATTTCCTGAGCAGAGAAAGGAGTTTCTTGCTGTCTTCTGAAAGAACCAGGTAGTTCAGGAAGTACCAACAATTCTTCAGGTGAAAGAATAACCAACAAGGTTCTTTCCTGAAATACTCCATTTGAAGTGTCTGTGTATCAAAATTTCTACCCCCCAAAAAAATCATAGGTATGAGAATGTCTGACCTCATTCAAAGTTTGGGCTCCATTTCCCTAAAGGATGTGTCCATTCACCATATCTGCAAAGTGACACTATGGTCTCCTGTATGCACACTCACAAAAAGTACTGTACACGTGAAAGAATTTCTAGACTAAGAGAAAATGTCAGAATACTCACGTGGGTGGAACAGATAGATGGGCTACTGTCTGCAGGTGGAGAAGAAGTTTCTCATCTATACAGTCAGCAGAGTCTTAAAGAAGTCTATGCACTTGTCTCTTCTTCAATCACCCTACCTTAGTCGCGTGTTAAGTAGGCAGAAAGTCAAGGAATGAGGGGGTAGCTCCAGCAGTATCTTGGCTGTAAGCATGAAGGTGTGAAGGAGCCACACTCTATTGGTCAATCCTAAATAGTCCAAATCCACAGCAAGCTGTTACTGAAGCTCAGTGGCATTTCTCAGATAGCTGCTTTTGCACAAGAATACATGTGTTTCACTGTTACTATTTACTTTCCAGTTTACAAAGGCTGAAAACTGGACAGGCCAGTAATTCTGCAGGCACAAAGCACTGCTGTCTGCTTCAATCTATGTTCTTCAGAGTTGATGAGAAATTACTTTTTCAGGTAGTAATCCCCTTAAACTACCTGCTTAGCAAAGCTATCCTTTACCCTTATATTCCTGCCTTGACCTTCTCGGTGAGACAGGAGAGCAGTATCCAGATCTATTTTCTTTAATGAGGTACTCAGCAATACCTCTGGCTACAAGCCTTTACTACTCACTAACTCACTATTTTGACATACTTCTGCCCTCTTCTGCAGTCCTAGACATGAAATCATCAAAACATTAGTGCATTTTCCCCACAATTTGTGGTGATTCTTGTTTTTAACCTGTATGTATGTATCAGTGCTTTGACACTGTTATTGAGACTCTAATGAAAAATTTCCACTACTGCTTGAGGGGAAAAATGTCCAAGCAGGCAGAAGGGAGTTCATGCAGAGCTACCACTGGGCTGACATGGTGTTGAAGTACATCGTCCTCAGTTAAACATATCCTTACTTGGAGAAGTTGCAGTGACTAGATGTTATTTTAAGAAACACAGAATCATTTTAAGTGAAAATTTTATTTACTGCCTTGTACAAAGAAATCTGATATGGAAGATAGCTTACTCATGCCTGTTAGAAAACACAAACTTCATTCCTTTTAGAGGAACATGCACATGCTCGGCTATGTGGCAAAATTTCCAGGCAAAACTTCTTTTCAAAATACCCAAAGATCCTAGCCAATGTTTATTGCAGATTCTCTTTTTTAGCCACAGCATTATTTGTGGAGGGATTAGTAAAAAAAAACCAAAAACATAAATTGTACACAATTACATTTGTTTAGTCTGCAAATCTTCTCAGTACTTTAAAAAGCAGTTAAACTGTTTTGTTAAAGAAAAACAATTACCTCTGGGATCTCATCTGGAGGTTTTAACTCAAACATTTTCAAGAAACACAAAATTAAATTCTAAATATGAGTTCTGCTGTAGATTTGAGGCTGTTTTTCTTTAGAAAGCAGAGCAATCTAAACATCTTCACTCAGTGGCACATGCAACTTATTAGCCACATAAAAAAAATGCTGGTTAGTGGGGGATAAAACTGAGTTTTTAATGAGTAATTTATCATGTTGCCATTTTCAGTAGAATTAAAAACAATTGTGAGGCTTACATGTGCATCTATCATTTCCTACTGGCTATTATGCAACAATTTTTAAAATGTATGCCTTAGAAGTCATTGCATATGGGAAAGTTTTCTAAGTATGAAGTTCCAAGTATTAAACAAAAAAATGATATCATAGAATCATAGAACCATAGAATGGTTAGAGTTGGAAGGGACCTTAAATCTTTAAGGTCCCATCTAGTTCGAACCCCCTGGGCAGGGACATCTCTCAATAGACCAGGTTGCTCAAAGCCCCATCCAGCCTGGTCTTGAACACTTCCAGGGATGGGGCATCCGCAGCTTCTCTGGGTAACCTGGGCCAGGGTCTCACCACACCCACAGCAAATAATTTCTTCCTAGTATCTAATCTAAATCTCCTCTCTTTTAGTGTAAAACTATTACCCCTCATCCTATAGCTGTACTCCCTGATAAAGATTCCTTCCCCAGTTTTCATGGAGTTCTTTTACGGACTAGAAGGCAACTATGAGGTCTCCCTGGAGCCTTCTCCAGGCTGAACAACCACAACTGTCTCATCCTGTCTTCATAGGAGAGGTGCTCCAGTCCTCTGAACATCTTCGTGGCCCTCCTCTGGACTCATTCCAACAGGTCCATGTCCTTCATGTGCTAAGAAATCCAGAGCTAGACACAGTACTCCAGATGGGGTCTCACGAAAGCAGAGTAGAGGGGTAGAATCACCTCCCTTGACCTGCTGACCACACTTCTTTTGGTGCATCCCAGGATGCAGTTGGCTCTCTGGGCTGCCAGTGCATGTTGCTGGCTCATGTTGACCTTCTCATGCATGAGCACTCCCAAGTCCTTCTCCTCAGGGCTGCTCTGCTGCCATTCTCTCCCCAACCTGTAGTTGTGCCTGGGATTGCCTCGTCCCAGATGCAGGACCCTGCACTTGATTGAACTCCATGAGTTTTGCCACGGGTCCACCTCTCAAGCCTGTCCAGGTCCCTCTGGATTGCATTCCTTCGCTCCAGCGTATCAACCATGCCACACAGATTGGCATCATTGGCAAACTTGTTGAGGGTGCACTCAATTCCACTGTCCATGTCTCCGACAAAGATGTTAAACAGTATTGGTTGCAGTACTCACCCCTGAGGAACACCACTAGTCACTGGTTGCCACTTGTACATTGAGCCATTGACCACAACCCTTTGAGTGTGGCTGTCCAGCCAGTTCCCCATCCACCGAGTGGTCCATCCATCAAAACCACACCTTTCCAATTTTGAGACCAGGATGTCATGTGAGACAGTGTAAAATGCTTTGCATAAGTCCAGGTAGATAACGTCCTTTCTCTCCCCTTATCTACCAAGGCTGTGGCAATATCATAAAAGGCCACCAAATTTGTCAAGGATGATTTGCCCTTGGTGAAGCCATCTTGGCTGTCACCAATTACCTCTTTATTTTCCATGTGCAATATGGATATGAAGAAGCATTAAAGAAATCAGGATATAACATTAATATCAAACATGAATAATCAACTGCATTTTCCATTTTCTGGTATGATTTTACAGTGTTTCTGCTTGTCACTGCATGTTCTGGTCTTGCAGCAGCAATGAACTACAATTATGTAGGGATTTACAAACTTATATTCAACACAGAGGTTTCACTAGTATTCATAAAGTCCTAATTTTTCATAAAGTTGCTAATTTCTGGCAAATGTATTATCAGGCTTAGCAAGCATGGGATTTAACAGTCCCATGTACTTTAGATCTCTTTCTGGTTTTGGTACCTGTGAGGAGAAATTTACAGCTCATACTGAGAACACAAAAAACCCTATCCGGTAGAGACACTTTTACAGACTTTCTCCCTCAAAAAGAGATCTCCAGGTGCAGAAGCAGTTCTACGTAAAAAGCTCCTTTTAAGCTATAAAATTTGTATTTATCCATCAGAACATCTCTACATGATTTATGAGTCTTCTATAACTACTATTCTGAAATTCATTGCCATAGTAAAATACCATCTGTTACAAACTCTGATGACCACAATATTTTATGATTTTTTTTTGCATATTTCTTTGGAATAATTCAGATTCAGAGGATATTTTAAAGTTACATTAATAAATGACACATCAAAATTACCTATATCTTGCTACTGTAATCCAGGTGAAGCATGAAATACAGTAGAAGTAAAATACATGGAAAAAACAACTATGATTGCTATTTCTCCTGCTCCGGTTTCCACTGGTGTGGCAGATTAACTGTTCTTTTTCACACTTACTACGCACATGCTTAAGGAAATAATGGCTCCAAGCCTTTCAGGATTGCTAGAAAATTAACAGTAGGCATAACATGCTATGCATGTGAATTTCTTTTTAAGCTTTTCTCTGAGAAAACCAGAAACATTTCTGGAAAAGTACGACTGTGAAAACAATCGAAAGATGTCAGCTGTATTATATATGGTTATCACACGTTTTTACTTGTGGTATGAACATTGCCTTGGTACAGATAGTCAACAGTATTTATTCTCTTCATCAGAATTTGTGTTATAGATGTGTTTAGACATACCAGAAGAAGTGCATTTCCTGAAGCAATGGTAATAAATCTGCATATCTGTGCCAGACATAGTCATACAGACATATATAGACATATATGTCAGACATATATGCATGTAAGTTGTTTTGATCTGAGATCAAATGCAGACAGAGAGGAGCAAAATGGAAAGAGTCCTTTGAGGGTTGATTTAAAACAAGTTTTACCTCTAGGATTTAATTAAATTTTTAAAAATATGCTTATTTAAATTAATTTCAAAGGGAAAATGACAATTCAGAATAGCCATAACAATTCAGCTGGGCCTTAAACTAGTACTTATCACTTGATATATCACTAATATTTAAAAAGCACCCACATGAGATCCCTTTCAGTAGTCTCAGTCACAAATTCAAACAAGATAATATAAGACTCCAAGCTGCATTTTTTGTTGTACCATGTTTAGAAATAGCAACAGTCACAGTATAACAGCATTAGTTCAAAAAAAAATTTTGTAGTAACAAAATGAAGGTAATATGGAAGATCAAACTTGGTTGTACAGCCTCTGTTCTTCAGCATCTGCACCAAATGTGCCCTACCTTTGCTAAGAGACCATATGAAAACAAATTAGCGGGTACTTCAATAATAAGTAAATACAGGGAGCTAGTTTCCTTTCTGAAAATTAAGAAGCATTGTTTATACTTATGGCTTTAATGCCAATGCCATCTTTAAACCAAAACTTCAGTTTTTTTCCTGTACGATCTAACTTTTTCCTCTTACTGTCTTTCTGTTACAGGGGTTCTTTGTAGCAGTTTTATATTGCTTTGCTAATGGAGAGGTAAGAGACAATGCTATGAGAAAAGTTTTTAGTTTATTAGTAAAGTCTCTTAATGACACCAAGAAGGATGAAGACACTAACTAGTTCTGCTTATTTGAGAGCATGGGTGCATTCTTTTGAACAGGTATAATTGTTTTGTACAAAGACATAAGACAAGTTTGGAATTCAAATGCAAGGTATTCCCACTGAAGCCTGAGTGGCTCTAGCACTGTGGATGCATACAACCTGGAGTGTATGAAATACCAGTAGAGTTTTCTGGACAGCCACCTAAAACCCCCTTCTTTAATCATCTGGAGTCCCAGGCTTCATGTTTGATCAGGCTAAACCCTCTCTTAGTTTACTGCTAAAGTCCATGTGAAGTGACCAAGTTTGGGGTGCTTTAATATCTTACAAAGCAACATGTTGAAAAAATAATTTCATGCATGCACTGCTCAGGACATCCCTAAACTTAATGTGAGGGGATTCCTTGTCTAGAAGTTGTCTCCTGCTATGCTTCAAGGGACAGCTGGGGGCTCAACTTGCTCCATGCCAGGATTTGGGCAGATCAGTCGTGGCTCTTATGCAAGTATATGACAGCAGAGAAAACTAACCTTCTGCCAACGTGGGGTGAAGACTGAGTTCAGACCAGACTGCTTGGGGTTTTGTCCAGCTGAGCTTTGAATCCCCCCCAAGGATAGAGGTTCCACCACCTCTCTGGTCCTCTGTTCAGTTCTTCACTGTACTCAGGAGGAAACAGCTTTTCCATATATTCTGTTAGAACTTCCTCTATTTATTTGAATTTATGATCCCTGTCTCTTGTGTCCCTACCAAACACCTCTGTAGAGCGCCTGGCTCCATCTCATCCATGAGCTCTTCATAGGCAATATTTAGGCCTTCAGCATGAACAAGCCCCATTCATACAGCCTCTTGTCATAGGGCAAGTGCTCCAGCCCTGATCTCTGTTGATAAGTTCAAGCTTATCAGCATAGTTCATGCACTGGGGGCCCAAAATTAGATGCATTATTCAGAGGTAGTCTAACAGTTACTGAGTTAGGAAGAGCAATCACCTCTCTTAATCTACATGCTTTGCTTCTGCCCATACAACCCAGTGCCTCCATCACCATCATGCTACCTTTGCCTCGTCAGACTGACTTGCTACAAGTTACCTCCGAAAATGATGCTATATAGTCTGTGGAATTAATCGCACATAATATCAAATGATTTCTAAGTTGAATCTCACCATCTGTATCCGCCTTACATTTGATCCAGGTGCACACCTCCACTGCTTGCAATAAACAGACATGTACCCAGTGTCAGTAGCACTTAAGAGCCTGGCACAGCCAGATGGCATGGAACACACTACACTGACAATGGTACATTAAACTGGACACCTTCTTAAAGGCATCAGTGAAACAAATGAGATGGACTTTATATAAAATGTATGTTAGGAACATATACTTCTAATATTTAACAAGGAAATCTGGAGCAATTTTGGAACTATTTAAATTAAAAAAAGAGCTGGCAATACAGGAGTACTTGTCTAACATTTGTGAAGGATACAGAACTACTAGCATCTCTCATCAGTCATTAAAAGTTCCTCTTTTGGTCTTCTACCTCTTGGTGCAGTGGAGCACTCAGGCCAAAGGTCCTGTTGGTCAGAGCGTGGGCATGTCTCACTCCTCTGTGGGGACCTGGGGTCCATCCGCCATCTGCAGCATTGGCATTGATCCTGCAGGCAGCAGGACACAAAGTGCTGGGGATTTAAGGCAGGCTGCCAGATAAAAAGCTTTAACAAAACAAGCCTGATATCCAAGCACAACACTCTGGCAAAGCTGCATGGTCCTTATGTCCACAGACCTTGGGCTTTCCTCCTCCTCACTTCATCAAGCTGTAAACATGAAAGTCACTTGAGCTCTCCCACACACGCATCAGGATCACAGCATATTCAGCGGCTAGGAAAAATTTTCCTGAGCTAGAGTGAAGAGGGCGGACACCTAAGATTGACTTAGCAAACAAGTCTGTTTCTACACTACAAGGAAGTTGCTTGGTGCAAGGTGCATCCCAAGGGGTCAGGAAGCTCAGCACTTCCACAGTCCCTCTCATTTTACAACTATCATTTGGGTTTGTGGACTGCAGGGTGGTCACAAGTCATCACCATGGACAAACTGCTTTCTTCTTCCCCCAGGTGAAGGCAGAACTACAGAAGCAGTGGTCCCGCTTCCTCCTGGCAGATCCTTTTGGCTGTAAACTCTGCTTTCTTGGGGAAAACATAAAATACCTCAGGAAGTGTTCACAGAAACAAAAGAAACAGCACCTCGGCAACAAACACCACTTGCGCCTGGAGGCAAGAGAGCCCTGGAGCATGCAGCTCCAGCAGGTGCTAGTGAAGCAGAGGACAAATCTCAGCACAGAACCAGGCTGTGCTCTCCCATCTTGTCCACGGGCAAGCGTGTCAGACAGTAGCGAAGGAGAAATCACCACTGGAGAGACAACTGAGGAAGTCTTTGAAGAAAGTGAGATTTAGAAATCTGTCCACTAGGATAGCACCTTCGAACAGGCACAGTATTTTGAAAGATCTTCTCATATCTTTAGACTGCACAGATCTCTGTGGGGTGGAATGCAAGGAGGAACCAGTTAATATCACAATTGTCCCAGTTTTTTTGATGTGAGAAAAATGTTGATCTGGATGTTGCTAACCTGTGTGGCTGGGATAGAAGAGGTTTGCTGGGTCAAAAAATGCTTTGAGGTGACCAGTCTGGAAGATAACTGGGGCTCAAAGAGATGTACACAGGGGAGCATGATATATTCTGGAAATGAGTAAACTCTGGACATACACGTTGTGTCCCAGCAGCTTCATCCATGCTTGACTGCCTTTCTATTCACATGACAGAGAAGTTGTTTGTTTTCTCTTTCATAGGTGTGTTTCATAAATAGAGATATATGTGTAGAAGACTCTTCTCTCCACAGAATGAAATCATCCCATATCTCAAAAAAACAGTTTCAGGGCAAACCAGACATGTTTAAGCAAAATGAAAAGATTTATATATATTAAATAAAAAAATAAAAAAAAACAAACAAAATTTCTTCTTGGGAAGAAAACAAAGTTTTACTTGCATTTTTAATCATCTTCTCTTGAAATTTAGTTCTAGAAATACCACTATGAATGAAAGACCAAAATGTTTTCTTTTGAAAGTACCCAAAATTTTTTTGTTTGTTTCATACAATTGATACAATTTTTGTTTGCTCATTTATGTTTTCACTGCTTTTTGACATAAGCCACATATTTTGATGCACCCACAGGTTTGCCCTACCCACAGGCCCAAATGACAAACTAGATCAGTGCTGCTTTCACCTTTTACCCAGGGGACCCGGAGTGGATAATGCCATGGGATTGCAACAGCACCAAAAGAATCTTGTGAAATCCTTCTTCCAGAAAGAACCATGATGAAATTTTGACACATAGAGTTCACCCAGAGACCTATGAAATTCGATTAAGTTTGTTAATGTTTGATGAGCTAATTTCCAAACTTGAGAACATGAGCCAATTGGTATATTGAAAGGAAAAAAGAAAAAGGCAACAGAAATATTAGTGGGCAATGTTTATCTACAGTATAAACATATATCCCAGGCACACACATATGTAACTCTCTAGTCTGCAGCTAGTTACATAACATTTGTTACTAATTTTTCCTGTACATTACTGGCAAATACTATAAATGCCTGCAAATGTAATAAAACATATCCTGGGCGACTGGCCCTAGGTAGCCCTGCTTGAGTAGGAGGGTTGGACCAGGTGGCCTCCACAAGGCCCTTCCAACCTTAACCAGTCTGTGATTCTGTGGAGGCATTGTATGTCAAATAAATAATTTTCAGGGCTACTCATGGACTTTATTCATGCATCTTCTCTCCGCCAGGTGCCAACACTGTGGATGCCCTTCTGGCCTTTCCTGCTTCTACATCTCCCCATGGGGTGGCTTTGTCCTTGGACCCCTGCTGCCAGCTTTACAGCTGCAAATGGCACTTGAGACAGATTGCCTGTATCTTCAATGTGTTGCTTGAGCAGACTAAGTTTATGCAGCTTATATAACTTAGTAAGGCTTTTAAATATGATTTGTCTGTCTACAAATGTTTAGACTTGTAAACTTTACCAGTTATGATATACTGTTTACTTGCAAAGAACATATAAGTTCCTTGACTAGCACTAGGTTAAGAACACATTTGAGCTATATAATTTCTGGTACTTTTCAAAAAGTATTTTTTTTACAGTGTTATCAGTGTTAAGTACTTAACCTATTTAATCAATACAAGATTGTACATTTCAGTAAAATATGAATAAAATATACATATTTTATACATTTTAAAATATAGCTGCAGTTTTAAAAGGCTTTTTAGCAGAACATGCACCCTGCTTATATAGCATTATTTTGCAGTGGATTTCTCAAACACCCATTATAAGTACCAGACACTATATAACTGTTGACCACGCCTTCTCCAATTTAAAAGAAAATAATTTCTTCTAGAGCTGTTAAGATATTAAAAAGTTCAAAGTGGTTCAGAATGTGTTTTACTTGTGTGCTAAAAATGTGAAAATGGTAAGATTTTACTGTATCTCAGTAAAATAGTTTAATTTTTAATTGCATTTTGAAGTATCTCAAATGGTCAAAAAATGGTTTTCTGTGCTCCCAGCAGCAGTCACTGCTAGGTGTATTATCCCCTCTCTGTTATGTGTATGGTCTTTTTGATTCTTCCAGTTTATAAAAAACAACTTTTTTTTTTTAATGCATAAGCGGACACTGGAGGCCTGATAAAATAATCATCACATATTCCTTCAGAAATCATGTTTGTGAGTAGATAAATCAGCAAGTTTCATCATAAAAATATGGCATTATTTGTTATATCACTAAAGTACAGAAGTTGTTAATTCTGAATGGCCACACATACAATGTATCTTTACAGAAACATGACAAGCTCCTCAGTTCTAAATAAAACATTAAGCAGCCTAGAAGACAGCAGCGCATGCAACAATTCCAACATGTTCGCAGAGTCAAGTGAAAATGGCTGCAAAAAGAGTCAGCGAAAACAGCTGACTTTGCTCCTAGGCAGGTGAAGGTCCACAGGTAGGTGTCCTCCTGGGATTTTCCTTCCAGCCTCTGTGGAGCCCCAGGCTCACAAGAGGGACACTGCAGTCAGAGGAGCTGATGAGAAAAGCTGCAGCAGGCTCTGGCAGAAACCAGATGACTTGCCAGGGTTCCCACGTGTGCACAGGTTGGAGAGACAGAAACAGCTGGGAGGAAAAGGGCAAGAAATATGATAGTGCTCTGATGAAACAAGAGGTGGAGGAGACAGATTAACCCAAATTGATGTGTGTTTGTAGGTGACATTTTGTGTAAATTGCTTATCCAATTTGCACATAGATTAATTATCAGATAACAAAAACCTTTATGTTAGCCCATGGTTTTACGCTTATGTAGACCTAACAACAGGATTTTTCTCTTTATCAATCAATTGCTCACCTTTACACCCCAGATTTCCACTTCTTTTGCCTTATCAGAAAGACTGATGTGAGCTAACATCTTATTCCTTCTTGACGAGAGAGCCCATTCTCCCATGGTCCTGGCGAGTTTGGTCTCTGCTGAGTCAGTTCATTAAGTAAGATAAGGTGGGATAATCATGCTCAGGACGTTAGAGACAACCCACACTAAAACCTGACTCCCACAGCTTTGAAGTTGTCTTTGCCAAGGATTTTGCTTTCCATCAAAACTTGCATGACAAAAAATTGAATTTCAAAGCCAAAATAGTTTGTGGGCCTCAACAGAGTTTTCCCTTTAGATGTCGTGTGATAACTGATCTTATTTGTACAAACCAAGTTTACACAATCTTAATAATCTGCTGTGAGACATGCTATAAATTTTTATGTTTTACTACACATAAAGAACAACCTTCCAGACACAATGGTTCCTTCTATGGCCAGAGATGTCAACTATATGTTAATTATAAATGTGTACTTACATTCTTTGTTTAAATATATTGCTTCTACATACCAGGGTCTGTCTCAGAGACTCAAGAAGTGAAGCACAAACACTCCAGTCTGGAGAGCACTCTGTCAGTTACACCTTGCAATCAATAATACTGGTTTGCATTTTTTAAAATACAGAATAAACCTGGTAGATTAAGAGAGATGTGCCAGTTCTGTGATGCTTATTTTACTCACCTTCCAAGGCACCAAAAAAGAAGTGAAAGCAAAGTGTCACACATGTGCCACCTCATTGAATCCTATGAAAAAGACAAGTTAGGGAAGGCTAGATGCCTGGGAGACACTCCAGTGCTAATGCTCTGTTTTGTTCCAGTGCAAACACGAATTAATATAGCAACCACTTCTTTTTTTCTTTTTGTTTTTAAAGAGAGAAAAGACAACTTTATTAGTGTAGATAAACAAAGTATCCTATGACAATCTGTTCTTAAACTGCAGTGATCTTCCCTCTGGGATGCTGAGGTTGGGATGGGAGGCGTATCTTAGCTACTGACCAAAGTATGGCATAGCATTAGTGTCCCTACAGAAGATGAAAAGATGATGCTGCATGTCTGGGTCTATTTGGACATTCCATATCTATGCCTCATGCTATAACTGGAGGAAGGGTTCTACCAGCAGTCTTGATCTTTGTGAGTGCTTAATCTATAGTGGAAACCGAAGACAAGCTTGAGTGTGTGGGATGAGAAATGCCAAACCTCAGGAGGCTGTAGGCCATAACTTTCTGGGCATAATCCCCTCACTTTAGGCTGGTGTCAGCTTCTTCTCTTGCATGGTAGAGAAAACCACTTCCACTTGATTACATCTGTGTTTTGCAACCTATTGTCTCTTCAGCCACTCTTCTGATATCTCTAGCACCAGCATCTGATGTTGCTGGCAATCCCCATTGCAACAGTTAAAGCTTTTCTACTGGCACTTCCACAAGAACCTTATGGCAGAAGCTGCATTTAGGGACTTGTGGTGTCCTCAGTTCACCAGCTGTCACCATCTTCTGGGTCTCCCATGGCACTTCTCACTTCCCTAGCTAACCAGTGCATTCCCATCTGCCGTTGCTATATTGGCTTATGGTTTGGCCAGGTTACCTGGTTGTTAGGAAAGCTGCATTCATGCCTCAACTTCGTAGCAGCTATCCTTCCTTTCAGGATACAGCTTCTTCCTTTCATTTGCTTCAGGAATTTTCCCATCAGTATCAACTCCCAGTGAGAGGGTCTCTGTGATCTGTAAAATGCTTCCTGACATTGCTACTTTTTTTTTTTTTAAACCAAGAATATTTTACTGACATCATTTTTTCATGTTTCATAGCAAACACAATTCTGGATTTTTATTTCTCTTCAGCCTGCCAATCCAAATCTCACAAACCATCTGCTATCCTAAATGTCATGTTGTGTTTAGGTATCTTTGAGTCATTACTGGAGTCACACAGAACTACAGTGAGAAGCAGCTGCTTGTGACCTGTGTCATTGCAATCAACTCCAGGAAATTAAATTGGAGCTGCCACAGAACCAGGCCTCGAAGGCTCGAAGGCATAATGTTCATCATGTTGTAACGATTATTTTCTTCCATCACGGTCAAATTCTCACTGCCGTCCTTGTTTGCTGTTCAGTTTGTTTCTTCACTTTCTAAGAGTCAGCTCTGATTTTAAACCCAGCAGCATCTCTGTAGAGACTGCCGAGCAGCAGCACTGGGCTATTCACTCTCTTCCCGGAGGCTGCCCTCTTCCATGCCTGTATCCAAGTCCCTCTTGGGCTGACTGAGAGTCCTGTCTCCCCTGCATGCCATGTCTGCCTACCCAGATGCCAACATTTTTTTTGATTTTACCATGTTCCACATGGGTCCTTTCCTCACAGCATCAAAGTTTCCTTGCCTGAAGGACCATATGATTGCCAGAAAATGGCATGATTTGCAGGGAATTTAGGCCTGTTTGAATGTGGAGAGCTGACTCTACGTGACGTGTAGCCCTAATCACAGAAACCACATAGGCTACATCAACAGCAGAGATGAGGAAGTTGACAAAGTGCTTCTGGCTTCCTCTCTTCCTTTGTGTTTAAGGGCTGGTGCTCAGGTCTGGCTCTGTGCAATGTTTTGGGAATAGCAGTCTGTCCAACTGCAGAGTCCTCTCTTCAGGCAGGCAGCGTGGCTTAGCAAAGAGTGTACTAAGCACCACTGAGAATAACTAAAGAAAAGAACAATTAAAATTGCACCACAGCTAATCCCTCATCTTCTTCTGCCTCTTTTGTCTCACAATGCCATCTCCAGAAGGTAGACAGAGTTAGGAGTGAGAGGAGGCAAATGGCATTTCTAGTTAAAGCTGCATGAAGAGAGGACTCTGGGCAAATGTGGTCTAAGCACACTCACATTTGAATTTCATGGATATGATGAACAGAAAACTGGGACTCGGGATGTTTAAATTTTATACAAGATAACTTCTACCTTGTTGTGTAGCTTTGGAAAAGTCACGACAACTCCACGTACTTCAACTTCTGCTTTGTGAAACAAAGGTGATAGTAATGACTGCTTGTGCAAAGCAAGGGAGTAATGGGGCTAGCATTATTATTTATTACTTAAAACCAAAACATTGAAGATTCAGATAATAAATATAAAAGGACCTTAGGGTGTTGGTTGACTGTCGGCTGAACATGAGCCAGCTGTTTGTCCAGGTGGCCAAGAAAGCATCCTGGCTTGTATCAGGAATAGAGTGACCAGCAGGACTGAAGCAGTGATTGTCTCTCTGTACTTGGCACTGCTGAGGCCACACCTTTAATACTGTGTTCAGTTTTGGGCCCCTCACTACAAGAAGATTGTGCTAGAGGGTGCTGGAGTGCATCCAAAGAAGAGCAATGAAGCTGGTGAAGGGTTGAGAGCCCGTGTCTTATGAGGAGCAGATGAGGTAACTGGGATTGATTAGTCTCTAGAAAAGGAGGCTGAGGGGGGAACCTTATTGCTCTCTAAAATTACCTGAAATGAGGTGGGTGTTGGTTTCTTCTTGGGAGAAGAGATAG